TATAGGTGTAAACAACTATGCCAGGTTCAAATTATGTATGTGTGTTGTGTATATATGTATGTGTATTTTATATATGTATGTGTGTATGCATGTATATGTATGTGTTTGTATGTGTGTGGATGTGTGTATGTATTGGGTTGTTTGGAGGTTTTATGAGTTTTTGTTTTTTTGCTTTTTGTTTTTGAGACAGGGTTTCTCTGGGTAGCCTTGGATGTTCTGGAACTCACTCTGTAGATCAGGCTGGCTTTGAACTCACAGAGATCCCCCTGCCTCTGTCTCCTGAGTGCTGTGATTAAAGGTGTGTGCCACTATTATCCGGCTTTATTGGGTTCTTTGAAACAGAACTTCACTACATAACCCTGGCTGGCCTGGAATTTATTATGTAGACCAGGCTAGCCTTAAACTCAAAAGACTCTGCCTGTCTCTGCCTCCCAGCTGTTGTGATTACAGGTGCATAGGGTACCATCATGTCTGACCACCACACCAGGTTCACTTTGTTTTACTGTGCTAAATACACATGGCATGGAATCTGCATATGTGGGTCTATGGTGTTAGATACCCTCAGAATGGTAGACAACCATCCCAGCATCTCCGTCCACTTTGCTTCTGTAAGGCTGGAACTCTGTCCCCTTTCAAGAGAACCTCCATCTCCTCTCCCTGTGCCCAGCTACCACCATTCTGCATCCTCCCCACGGTATTCTGACTACCCAAAGCCTCTCAGGTTTGTCTAGTAGCTGGTGTCTTTCAGGTACAGTGGTGCTCTCCAGGTTTGTGCAGAAATGGCACATCAGAAAGCTTTCTCTTTAAAGGCTGAGTAGTATTTCAATGCGTATGTTGATGTTTTCTTTCCTTCTCTCTCTCTCTCTCTCTCTCTCTCTGTCTCACTCACTCTCTCTCTCTCTCTCTCTCTCTCTCTCTCTCTCTCTCTCTCTCTCTCTCTCTCTCTCTCTCTCTCTCTCCCTCTCTCTGTTCTTCAGGCAGAAACCTGGAGGCAGGAACTTAAGCAAAGGTCATGGAGGATGCTGATTACTGACTGGCTCCCGCATGGCTTGCTCAGCTTGCTTTCTTGTATAGCTCAGGACCACCTGCCCAGGGTGGCACCACCCACAGTGGTCTGACCACTCCCACATCCATCATTAATCAAGAAAAATTCCTGACAGACTTGCCTACAGACCAGTCTTATGAAGGCAATTTCTCAGTTGAGGCTCTCTCTGCCCAGATGATGCAGGTCATGTCCAGTTGGCAGAAACTGTCCAGCATGCCTTGTTTAGCTGGTCATTGTGTTTCCCCTTAGGGAATGACCGTAGAAGTCCTTTCCCTGCTTTCGAATGGAGTGGCTTGGGCTTTTGACACTGACTTTCCCCCATGCAGTTTTAGCTCTCTGCATACCCTGGTGGTTTTTGAGTGGACAGTTTAGCCCTGAGGCAGGAGGCAGGCTAGATGTGACTTGGCATGTTTCTAGGCACTGGGGTACAGCCCCCACCCCCAGTCTGAACCTGGTACCTGCATACCTGGCCATGGTGCAGGGAGTCAGAGGCTAACGAGCCGGGATTCAAGTTAAGACTTCCAGACTCCAAGGGGCTCCCCTGTGGGGTCTGTTCTGAATGTGTGTCTCTCCTGCCTGGCTCCACATAGACAGACAGATTGACATCCATGCCTATCTACTGAACTGAAGGCCCTCTGAACACCCTTCCTGACTTGGGCACTGAGGTTTCAGCTATTTGGCAAGCAATGGGAAGATGACATTTTTTTACATTTATTTATTTACTTGTGTGTATGTAGGGGGTACGCATGCCACGGTGCATGTGTGGAGGTCGGAAAATAGCCCATGGGAGTCAAACCTTTCCTTCCATCGTGTAGGTACTGAGGATTGAACTCAGGCTGTCAGACTTGGCAGCAAACAGCTTTACACAGTGAGCTGTCTCAACGACCCTGAAACAAGGTTCTGAAATGTAGAACAAGGTGGTTGATTGGTGCTTTTTGTGTCCTGAAGACCTGAGTTACCCACAGCAGCTCTTCTCCCAACTTGGACCACTAATCATTCTTGCAAAAGGCCAGTTTGCCCTCAGGATAAACATCAATACCAAGTGTGGAAACTGTAGGCTGGGTACACAGTGATTCCCAGGGGACAGGGTCCTCCCCAAGACCGAGTGGACACCTGGCTGATGACATCTGCAGTTCTGGGCATCCGTTTGTCATGCTCTGGGTTTCAAGGCAGAAATTGCCAACTCGAACCAGCCCCAAGAGTAGGAACACACAAAATGTGAACTTGCTGAGGTGGCCACAGAGTAAGTGGACTTGGTGGCCAAGTTGTATTAGCATCAGAGACACAGGCTCTGTGTCCGTCCACCCTCAGTGCACGGTGTTGGCTTTGTCCTAACTCTGACTCATCTTGCAGTCACAAGACAGGGCCATGTGTTATCTGCCTACTGGGGATGCATTCTGTCTGGTTGAGAACAGGCCCACCATAGCATCTGGGCTGGCTTTCCTAGGGCAGGTGTCCTCTAACCTCAGAGCAGGAACAGTCACCAAGGTAATACCATGGATAGGAGAATCAGAGAGAGCAATTAAACTCTAAGGACTGATGATGTTCCTAGACAACCAGGTAGTGTGTGTGGAAACGTGGATGGAGGGGAGTCAGGATGGTGCCTGTCTTTATGCTCCAGGGTAGGCAGGAAAGCAGACCCTGGGTCTGTGAAGGGCTCCATGAAGGACCTCATTCATTTCTGAAGCCAGTGATGAGTCCCCCACCAAAACCACAAGCTCAGCCAGCCGTGAATCACACCTAAGAAGGAAAGTCAGCCATTCTATAAAACAACTGAACTGGAATGAAACCAAATCAAACATGAACGTGCTCCCCAGACCACCCACAGAGCCTCACTCCTGGTCCCAAGTATGTGGCAGTCAAGGTGGCTCCGAGTCAAGGATGGCTGGGCAGTCTCTGGGAGCTCTTTGGGGCTGAGGAACAAGGTAGGGCATCTGAGGCTGGACCAGGGTGCTGCTTGCCATTTGGTCACTAGCAGTGGCCAAGACAGCTGATACCAACAGGTAGCCGGTATGAAATCTGGGCTAAGTCTCCATTGCAATGGTTCTCAATCTTTGGGTCACAAGCCCTTTGTGAGAAGGCTGTTGAATGACTTTTCCACAGGGGTTGCCTAAGGCTATCGTAAAACACAGATACCTACATTTCAATTCAGAACAGAAACAAAAGTAAAGTTACTAAGTGGAAACAAAAATAACTGCATGGTTGGGTTCACCACAACATGAGGAACTGAATTAAAGAGTGGCAGCACTGGCATGGTTGAGAACCTGTGTCCTGGTATCTCCTGATGGCTCAGAGTGTCTGAGTCTCAGTTTCCCCACCGTGAAACAGTAAAACAAATGGAACCCACACTTAGGTGAGATGGAGGAGGTGGCTCCCTACTACTAGATGTCAAGGACATGATCCTTCTGCCTTCCACACGCCTCCCTCCCTCAAGGTCAAGGTCAAGGTCAAACCTGCTTCCAGGCTCTCTAGTTGCCTGTGGATCACACGCTGTTGCCCTTGACCTGCAGTCTACTGCAGGGATGGTTCCTCACCAGTCAGCTGGGCTCATTCCTTACTTCTGCTGTTTGGACTGTCTCTCCAAAGGACAGTGTCACCTACCTCTTTACAACCTGAAGCATAGCTCAGATGTGTCATTTAAGGCAACAGCCAAGAGAGGCAAAATGACCTGTCCAAAGTGTCCCAGCCCTGATGCTAGAGTCAGGAGTGAGGCAAGACTTGGTTGCTGTTCTCATGGGTCTGACCCTAGGACAAGGGACAGACCACAGTCAGGCCGCCAACAGCTAAAACATATCAGGGGAAGCCAGTACTGTGAGCCAAAGACCAGGTGTGGTGGTAAGGAGGGGTGGGTATACTTTAGATGGACGGACGATGGGTGGGTCAGAGATGGCCTTTTGGGCCTTAGGAGGGAGGCGGACTGATGTGGGCAGTGGATCAGGTAAGGCAGGCTCTTCTAGGTCACCAAAAGGAGTCTGCGTTTTGTAGGTGTGGTGGGGACCAACCGCTGGCACATCTCATCCCAAGGAGAGGATTGAATAGATGGGGGGGGAGGAAGACACAAAGAAGGGTGCACAGGGAACAAGCATAATGGCACCCAGGGATGGATGGGGAGGGATGGGGAGGGGTGGGGAGGGATAGGGAGGGGTTGGGAGGGATGGGGAGGGGTGGGGAGGGATAGGGAGGGGTGGGGAGGGATGGGGAGGGATGGGGATGGATGGGGAGGGATGGGGATGGATGGGGAGGGATGGGGAGGGGTGGGGAGGGATGGGGAGGGATAGGGAGGGGTGGGGAGGGATGGGGAGGGATGGGGAGGGATGGGGAGGGGTGGGGAGGGATGGGGAGGGATTGGGAGGGGTGGGAGGGGTGGGGAGGGATGGGGAGGGATGGGGAGGGGTGGGGAGGGATGGGGAGGGGTGGGGAGAGATTGGGGAGGGGTGGGGAGGGATGGGGAGGGGTTGGAGAGGGATGGGGAGGGATTGAGAGGGGTGGGGAGGGGTGGGAGGGGTGGGGAGGGGTGGGAGGGGTGGGGAGGGATTGGGGAGGGGTGGGGAGGGATTGGGGAGGGATGGGGAGGGATTGGGGAGGGATGGGGAGGGATAAGAAGGGGTGGGGAGGGATTGGGAGGGATGGGGAGGGATTGGGAGGGATGGGGAGGGATTGGGAGGGATGGGGAGGGATTGGGGAGGGATGGGGAGGGATTGGGAGGGGTGGGGAGGGATGGGGAGGGATGGGGAGGGTGAATGATGGAACATCACACCCTCCAGTATGTACTGGAAAGTAGTTAGAAGTGACGTTTCTCCTTCCCAGGCCATGCTCTCTGGGGCAGGATGGGAGCAGACCTTCCGCCCTGCCTCCTACAAGAAGCCAGCCCCACCCCACTTCTTCTTGAGGTTGAGATGGTCCCTACCACGAACTTCTGCTCACACCGACTGATCAATTCTATTCACATTTGTAGTTCAGCGTTAAAAAGTCCACGGAACCTGTCCAGCCCCGACCTCTTCTCAAGTTCCCAGACATCTATGGTCCCCGGCCAGCTGTGACAGCCCCAGAAGTCATCAACTACGCGGACTACACTCTGGGGACCACAGAGGAGTCTGCTGCACCTGCCAGTCCCCAGGCCCAGGGTGACAGTCGCCTTAAGAGGCAGGTCACAGAGGAGCTGTTCATCCTTCCTCAGAATGGTAGGGCTCCCTGCCCCTAGGGGGCAGCACGGGGCAGGGGTGGATAGGGAGGGGCTTGCCAGTGTCTTCTGATACAGTGTATGCCCTGCTAAGGCAGGGCCCTGGTGTGGTGCGGTAGGTGGACTCCGTTGTTTGGCATCTAGCCTTCCTGTGAGAACTGAGGAGTCTCCTTCAGATCTTACTGTGTGATTATGCAATGGATTTTGAAAAGCCAAGGTTAGAAACAAGCTTCTGAGTTATGCCTAATTCTCTGCCGTTTTACATACTTGCTGTGTGGCATTGGACATGCTGCTAAGTATCTCTGGGACATCCACTTCCTTGATGAAGTGGGATCATATTATCCCTATGACTGTCACTGTCAAACGTATATAAATAATGACTAAAATAAAATGCCTGAAGCAGGGCTCAGCACATAGCAGCAAACAATTGCTGTTGCTCTATTCTCCTCTCTATGAGCATCAGGCCTCAGAAGGCAGCACCATAGGTGGCCAGCATGGTGCAGACAGGGAAATAATGGAGGAGCTGAGAGGCAGGACTTAGCCCTCAGGAACACAGAAGATTGTGAGAGAGACAACTAAGAAGGTGGCCAGCCCTGTGGTCCAGGTTGGCTGCATGTGGCAATGCAGGAAGCAGCAGCCTTGAGTGACCTGGATTCGTGTGGACTCTTGTGGGTGGGTGGCCTGATGCAGGGGCCAGCAGTGTACATTGGCCTGGTTTTATAAGAACCACTTCAATCTGCACTGCAAATCGGCCGATCCTCTTGGCTGTCAGCACCCAGGCTCTCCCCGCCCACATTTTAAGTAGATTCAAACTTGAAGACTTAAGAGTGGAGAGTTAGACAAGACTGATGGGATTGAGTACTCTTGTGGATGAAGCCCACAACCAGAGCCTTTCTCAGGAGCCCCTGATTGCTCGATGCTTGGATGGAACCAGGATGGAACCCTCCCCCAGGGGAAGCAGTGCCTGATTGCAAAGACTTCAGCACACACCCACTCCTTTCTTCCTTTTCCTCCCCATCCCATAGGGCAGCGGCCTGCTTCTGATCCACAGACAGCTGGCAGCATTGGCCACTTCAGCCAATGCCCCCATGGTGCACTCAGTGTGTTTGACTCCCCCAGCCACACTGCTCCCCTCACCACAGTCATCAGCACCCCTGTGTCTGGAGGAGGAGTCCATTCCTGCTACTCACATGGCACTAGCCCTTGGTCACTTGGGGAAGGCTTCTGCAGAGTGACCTTGTAGATGCCACCCCTGAAGAGAAGCCCAGCCAGGGATAGAAGACGTCAGATGAGCGGTTTGGGTCTGGGCTTTCAGGCTGAGGCTGCCTGAGCACTAAGAGCTCTGGGTACAACTAAGTCCCTTCTCACCCGGTCTGCTGCAGTGTCCTCAGGATGGCTTTGGGAGTCAAGTGCATCCTGCACACGTGTGTCTCGGTCAGTCTGCTCCCTAGAGGGCTTTTGTAGCAGGAATCTAATAATGAGCCCTTGGGGACATTACGGTCCTCTAGAGCCCTGCGCTCTGATTCACTCTGAGGACCAGTGGTTCGGTTCTGGCTGCGTTCTCTGCGGCAGCCACTGTGGCTTCTTAGTCCTCCTTCTAGGCTTGACTCCTGAGATTCTAGCACACATTAGGCTCTGGATCAAGAGAGGGGTGGAGCCAGCAGTACTGACGGTTTTATTGGCAGTTTTAAGACCTTCCTTTATTAATCAATTAATCTATATTTTATATGCATTGGTGTTCTGTCTGCATGTATGTCTTTGTGAAGGTGTCAGACCCCATGGAAGTGGAGTTACAGACCCTTGTGAGCTGCAATGTGGGTGCTGGGACTTGAACCAGAGTCCTCTGGAAGAACAGTCAGTGCTCTTAACCATTGAGCCATCTCTCCAGCCCTCAGAACCTTCTTGATTAAAGATAATCTGTTCACTCATCAAATGTTGAATGCACCTAAATTAAAGTCAAAGCCACCATCCTTGCCAGTGGTGTCTACTCTGGGGTTGTTCTCTGATGTTATCTCTACCTGTTTACTCCTGTGAGATTGGCCCACAATTCCATGCTCCACCAGAACCACCAAACAGGCTGTGACAGCTTTCCTTATGGGAAGCTCACTACAGACCAAGCACAGAGCTGAGAGCATCCCCTAAAGGATGCCCAGCTACTATGTGGCAGTGTAAATATGGCACCAAAGCCCACATATTGACCACTGGACCCCAATGATCCCTTGAGGTACAGTGCCCATAGCCTACTTTTGGGATGGTTTGGGGCTTAGGTCCACGGCTTAGATGGCAGAGACGACATGATATGATCAGGGAAGCAGAACCCCAACATGATGGCCACAGCCACTCTTTCTATCTCCAAGGTGTGGTGGAGGATGTCTGTGTCATGGAGACCTGGAACCCAGAGAAGGCTGCTAGCTGGAACCAGGCCCCCAAGCTCCACTTTCGCCTGGACTATGACCAGAAGAAGGCCGAGTTATTTGTGACTAGCCTGGAAGGTACTGCTTTGTGTGATTGGCAGGGACTTGTGTATGCCCTGCCAGTGGGATGGGAGGGTCTGGAGCTGGAGAGAGCAAGGGTTAGCACTCTGACAAACAGCTCCCCAGATTCTTCTGTCTCCCTCCTATAACCGTGGAAAGCAGGAGTTTCTGGCTGGTAGACACCTTTCCTCTGCATGGTGAGTCAAGGCCATGCCTTCCACCTGCAGTTCCCTAAACGCCCAGACCTCCTGCTAGCTGCTTCTAGCTGACGAGACAAGAGCGAGGAGAAGGCACAGTCATTCTGTAATGGCACTAATGGACTGAGCACCAGCCACTTCTGCTCATACCCCACCGCTGGAACCTCATTGCTTGCCACACTTTGTTGCAGGGGATCCTAGGAAATGTGGACTGGCAGGCTGCCCGAGAGGTGGGGAGATGAGTGAGTGACAGATGAGCACCTAGCAGCCATTGCCAGGGATGCCTTTGACATTGAGCAGGGGTTTGTGCCAGGCAAAGACAGTCTTTCAAGGGTCAGAAACATTTCTGAGACCTTTCTCAAGAATCGGGTAGTTAGTCCTGGGAACCGCTGCACTGACGGTACACCTTACTGCCAACAAAGTTAAAATTTTGCAAAAAAAAAAAAAAACAAACCAAAAAACAAGGGCTCCTGATGGAGTCAGCTGTGCTGTGTGTCTGTTCCTAATTTCTTTTGTTTCTGTGACAAAACACACCTGAGGAGGGGAACTTAGAAGGAGGCAAGGTTTCTTTTGGTTTGCACTTCCAGAGTTTTCATTCAGTCTGTGGTTGACACTGTTGCCTTTGGGCCTGTGGTAGGCAGAGCATCACAGTAGGCAGAACACTGTGACAAAGAGCTCACCCTGAGCAAAGCCTCTCACCTTACAGTGACAAGGAAGCAGGGGGTGGCAAGAATATGCCCAGTGACGAATTTCTTCCTGCAAGTCCCCAGCTCCCTAGAGCACCACCAGCCAAGGGCCAAGCCTTCAGCCACAGCCTTTGCAGTACATTTTAAGATCCAAACTTCATTCGTTACTTCTCTACCTGTTGTGGCAAAATACCCTGACAAGGCAATTTAAAGAGGAAGGATTCATTTGGCTAACAGTTCGAGGGACTTGTCCATCGTGTCCCACGGTGGAGAAGTCATGGCAGCTGGAGTCTGAGGCAGCCAGTCACACCCTGTCTACAGCCAGGAAGCAGAGTGATGGACTCTAGGGCTTAGTTTTTTATTCAGCCTAGGATCTCAGCCCTGGGGTGCCTTTGGCAATGAGGGTGGGTCTTCCAGGTCTAAAAGATCCCTGATGGACAAGCCTGGAGATTTTCTGCCAAGTTGACAAAGCTATCATGTACCACACGTCAGTCTTGTGGTGAGCTTGGTCCTGGAGATGGAAATCAGAGTTTCAGACACACTCAGTAAGTTCTCTGCCTCTGAGCGTTTCCTCAGACCCTGGCTTCCTAACTTGAGTGAGAATTTCCCCTTTTTAAACACTTCCATGTACTCTAGTCCATCTGGCCCTCGGGGAAGTAACATTTGACAGGTTAGGAAACTGAGTTCTAGCCTCTTCTACGAGGGGTCCAGGTTACGCTGGTAACCAGTGACTGGGCCAGGGATAAGCAGACCCTTGAAGCTCAGGAGGAAACTATGCTCTGTTGGGATGTTAGGTCCTCAGGCCTCATTTGTGGACATGGTGCTCATTCGGCATCTCTCTCTGTGAAATGTCAGTGACCATGCTGAAGGGACGGTCACCAAAGTGTCTTGGAGGAGGACCTGTAGGACACAGCCATGCCATGACACCACAGAAATACTTGTCAGCAGGGGAGGAGCTCAGTGGTACAGAGTGGGCACACTATGAGGGAGACCCAGATCTCTTTCCTGGAGGGTTAAAGACCAAAGCCCATCAGACTAGCCAAATGCCTGCTAAGGGGTTCACAAAGAGCTATGGTTGAATTCCTAACTGTCCCCAAGGGTTCATGTGACCAACACTTGCTCCCCAGCCCCCCCACCCCCCACCCTCACCCCATCCCCCCACTCCACCCCCACCCCTGCCTCTATCTCTCACCCTCCTTTGTTTTCCTGTCATGGCATGAATTGTTCTCTTGGTCATGTGATTCCTCCACGACATGCCGCCTCACAAAGTAATGTAGCCACTGATTATCATGGGCTAGAGTTTCTGAAACTATGTGTCCAAGTAAACCTTTTTACTTTATAGGCTGACTCTCTGCAGTGTTTGTTATAGTGTCAGAAAGCTGACTAACACAATCCACAGTGTGACGTATTCAAAATATCAAGGTTGAGAGTCGGAAGCAACATTCATGAGGCAGCAGCCGGGTGATTCAGATCACAAGTTGCTGTGTGGTAAATATTTAAAATGCAGAAACAAATGAGTCACAGCACTGGTAGCTATCTTAACAAAAGCTCTTCAGGGACTTGGCACCAATGGGGACATCTCTGAATCTTGAGGTCAGAAGGGATCTAGAAAGTGCCTCCTCTTGTCTCTATTATCCAATGAATCCCCCCCCGCCATGATGACCTATTTTAACAGCTTTCCCGACATGACAATTGCACAATGACGGAATGTATTGGTCACCCCAGGGTCCTGCAGACACCCAAGGTCATCTGTGTTCTGTAGCCCTGTCTAGGGACCTTCACCCCCCATCCCCGGGAAGTCCCAGGTCTGTCTTGTTTTGTCCTTGTCTGCAGCTGTCACCAGTGACCATGAAGGCGGCTGTGACTGTTACATCCAAGGCAGTGTGACCATCAAGACTGGCTTTGTGGAGGCACAGACAGCTCTCAAGAAGCGGCAGCTGCACACCACTTGGGAGGAGGGCCTAGCCCTGCCTCTGGGTGAGGATGAGCTCCCCACAGCCACCCTGACACTCACCCTGAGGACCTGTGACCGCTTCTCCCGCCATAGTGTGGTTGGGGAACTCCGCCTAGGCCTAGATGGAGCGTCTGTGCCCCTGGGGGCAGCACAGTGGGGTGACCTGAAGACCACAGCAAAGGTAGGGCTTTCCAGACTGAGAGCGAGAGCTGGCTGGTGGAGGGTGGGAGTAGAACACTGAGGCCGAGAAACAAGGCTCAGAGACGTCCTCAGCTCAGGCAAAGGGCAGCTCGGGCTCCTGATCAGAGGCAGGAGCAGATTTGTGGCCCAGAACTTGGGGTTCCTGGCACCTGTTCCAAGGGGTGCCTCTTACTGTCCAAAGACACCCCTGCCACCAGGAGCAGCATCATGGTGAGAGGGTGGGAACAGCTTTCATGATTTGGCAGAGTTGACTTCCCCTAAATCCAGTCATGGTTCTTATGCTGCTCTCAAGATTTGCCCTGCAGAAGTGATCAGAGGAAGGGAACACAGGTCCCCTCTGCTCTCAGAGCATGTAGACCTAAGGCAAACGGATACAGCTGGCTGCTGGCAGCTGGTATAAGACAGGTGTCACAGCCTGAGATGGCAAAGAAGAGCCTATGTGTGCTCTGACGGAAGCTTCTGGGATTTTGGCACTGACTCTAAATGCTCTGTGAGGACCAGAGAAAAGTCAGTGGTCTGCGCAGATACTGTTCTGGGATGGCGTCGACTGTGGAGGCTGTGAGACACTGGGCTCTTTGGGGAGCAAGCCATGTTCACCCACAGGCCATGACAGTGTGGGGTCAAGGTAGGACAGGCATTGTGTGTAAGTCCTCAGTGTCCATCCAAGAGCCTGCCACTGAGGAGCCTCCAGAGAACTTCTGATAATGACCTGTCAATTAGTTGCTCTATAGCACTGAGATGTGTCCAACATTTTGACATTGGGATATGATGTCATTTACAAGGGCACTATCAAGAACCATGCAATCAAGTTTTTTGTTTGTTTGTTTTTTGTTTTGTTGTTGTTGTTGTTGTTTTTCAAGACAGGGTTTCTCTGTGGCTTTGGAGGCTGTCCTGAAACTTGCTCTTATAGACCAGGCTGGTCTCGAACTCACAGAGATCCGTCTGCCTCTGCCTCCCAAGTGCTGGGATTAAAGGCATGTGCCATTAACGCCCAGTCTACAACCAAGTTTTATTTTTAAAAAATCACAAAATAATCTTAATGTTTTAAGTGAGTTTATGGTTTTGCATTGGGCAGCATTCACAACAATCGTTGGGCCACGAGGCTGCATGTAGCCATGGAACACAGGCTGGGCCAGTCTGGATCAGCTTGCAAGGCCCACAAAGTTGCAAGCCTTTCCCATAATCCTTTTTTGGATAGACAAGTTGCCAACCTGCCCATCTGAGACACCATTTCTGTGCACCCGTCTCAGTGCTCAGCTCAGGGAGTCATCTTCCTCCTCATCTTCACTGCCCAACCCAGACAGGAGAGGGCAACATTGTGACCACCCTGTCTGCACACAGGGGAAACTGAGGCTGATCTGATTAGGAATCCACACAGCATGGGCAGACCAAGCAGGGCAGACAGCTCAGCCTCAATGGCACGTCCTTCTGACTCATCCTGCGTGCTTCTCTCAACTGCCATGCACCTGCCAGAGGAGGTGACAGGCAGGGGTTCTTTCCTCTGCAAGCCTGGACTGTAGGACTCAGAGAGCACCCCACTCCTTACTTGCGTTTCTTTGGGTCATCATTTCTTCTGGGCCCCATTTTCCTGTTTTCTATTTTCTCAGCTTAGAAAATTGAGAGGAAAAACTGCAGCCACCCTTTGAGACGCTGTCTCAAACCCTACTTTCTAATTTGTATGTGATTCTGGACCCATGTGGGGGTCACAGACAGGGCCCCTGATGGGAAAGAAGGCACGTGGGCTAATTAAACTGATTATCCGGCCTTTTCTGAAGCATAGGAGGGTCCCCTATCAGGCATGGGTTGAAATGCACCTCACAGAGACAACTCCCGGGTGTCTTGCCTGTTTCTGTCCATTCCCCAGAAGACAGCAATCACTCATTCGCAAACACCTCACCTAACCCCTGCTGTGTCCTGGGCAGTGTGCCACAGCTGCAGCGGAGTCCTGTCCTTAGGCTCATCCATCTTAATGCCATCACTCTTGCCGCAGCTGTCACCACTCCACAGACAGCCCGGCGCATCTCTTTCCCTCTGGGCAGTGTCGGGGGACGCATCAAGCCCCATCCAGATGGAGAGTGCGGGCTGGTTTGAATCTGGGGAAGGAATCTGCAGTTATTGCAACCCAGATGTTTCTTTTGTTTCTTTTCCGGGCTCGAATGGGTTAAGAGAGGTGGCAGCAGTGCCCCAGTTCCAGCCAAAAGTGGCATGTGCGTCATTAGAGACAACAGAGCACCCCACTCCGAGGGCAGCTTGGAGTGATTCACTGAGCATCTAAAAGAAAAGGAGGCGGGGAGAGACAGGAGAAAGGAGAAGAAAGGGACTTCTTTCACTCGTGGGTCTCTGAGCATCTGAACCCAGTCAGGTGTTACTGCAGTTCCCTTGTATGACAGCATCCGCAAGGCTGGTCGTGGTTTCACTCATACACATGTGAGAAGCCCTGCAAAGATGCAGGCCTGCCCTGTGAGGAGCAGAGGGCTCGGGTTGGTCATCTGTAACCACAGCCCAGGCCAGCTGTGGAGCGCTGTCCAGGGCTATGTGCTTGCCACCTGTCCCAGACCTCAGTGCCTCTATTGTAAAATGAGAGCACTAGGAGACTGTTCACCTAGGAAGCCAGAGCAGTGACCCGGGACTTGGGCTCCCTTAGAGCAGACTTCACAGGAGGCTCAGATTTGCCCTCATAGCTACTGACCCTGGAGGTAACAAGCCCCACTTGGCTCTCCTGCTGAGGAGAGTTCAGTGTCCTTCTCAGGGTCATTGCCAAGATCAAGAGAGAGGTCTGAAATTTTTCTGGCAGACATTTATTTTGTGTCCAGTGTGTGCCTGGCACCAGGGGTGTGCAATGAACCCACAGTCTAGTGGGACAGGAAACGTACTTGCATGGGCACAGTGCTCTTGCTTAACAGACCTGTACATGTGCCATCCCAAGATGCCCTGAGACTCCCAGATCGGTTTGTCACGTGACTAGCCACCTATCGCTGATTAAAGTCTACTGGAATCTCAAGTCCAAGGCCTGCCTCTGGGCACCTCAACAGACCAGGCTTGACCACCAGCTGCCTCAAGGGTCCAATTAGGAAAGACATGAATGGAGCAGAGCAGGAAATGCGTTTCCTGCACTACATCAGGAATGAGGCATGTCTAGCAACCCCCTAGAATGCTGCCTGCCTCCCTATCCTGACAGGAGCTCCAAGATGACACAGGGGTGGCAGTTGTGGGCACGAAGGTGTGGGCACCATTATCTTGCTTCTAGGCAGGGGCATCACTACTGATTTGTGGGGTTCAGTTCTCAACATGAGGCAATGGCCCACAGGTTCTGCAATTCTTAGAACTAGAAACAACTCAAAGAGGGAGAAAAGATTCCAGGAACAAACCAGAATCAATTAGGATGGAGAACTGGCTCCTCCCTCAAGAGCAAAGGACAACTTGAAAAGAGTCCCCGGGGAAGAATGAGCCATTGGGGTCATGGTAGAGACATTTGTCCTGGATGACAGGCATGCTCTGAGGCAGAGGGTGTGCTCAGAACACACAGCAGGCTTCACCAACCATAGCTGTGTCCCGCGCCAGTGTGGCTGAAGGAGATAAAGGGCTCTGGGACCACCCACAGTGACCTCTGCATTTGGTTGGGGAAGGAGCTCCCTGAATCCCCTCACTGCAGCAAGAAAGGACAGGTTACTAAAGCTGTGTCACAGAGTCAGGGAAGGGTTCCCCCAAAGGACTTGGCAACATTTCACACTCCCACAGGAGGTGGGTGGGGGACATTGTATACCAGCACACAGGATGGACAAGCACCTAAAGGAGCATCCTAGAGGATCCGTACCTCCCTGGAGTACACCACTACTACTTGGTCCTTGCCCAACCATCCTTGCTGCCCCAGACTTGTGCTGATGTTGCTGGCTCCTGATGGCGAATCCAGTCCTTGTAAGCATGAAGACAGCCACTTCATTGGTGATGTTGGCCTGCAAAGCTGGAGTTACCTCTTCAAACAAAGAAATGGGCAACTTGGAGCTGGGGACAGCAATTGAGAGCTCCTCCCCCTCCTAAAGAGAATTCAAGTTCTATCACTCACATTAGGTGACTCACAGCAACCTGCAACCCCAGCTTCAAGGGATCTATCTGATGACCTGCAGGCACACATGTCCATACCCACACAGAGACATACATAAAACATGTTTAAAATAAGTAAAATCAAAGGGGAAAATAAATAACTCTCTACTTCTCCAGGAGCATGATGTGTCCATCCATGGCTCTAAAACTGGGGTTCCTGGGACCCTAGAGTTCTACCAAGGCACCCCAGAGTCTAGGAAAAGGAGAGGGGCCCCCTGTTTTCTGCCCTCAATGTAGCCTGAGTGGAGGCTATTTTCTGTTTATAAATTGGATGTAAAGAGATAACATGTGCCAGAGTGTAGTGGCTCATGCCTAATCCCAGCACTCAAGAGGGAGAGGCAAGTGAATTTCTGTGAGTTTGAGGTCAGCTTGGTATACATAGTGAGTTCTGGGCCAGCCAGGATTATGTAGCGAGACACTATCTCAAAAAAAGAAAAGAAAAGAAAAGAAAAACACAGAAAGATAACATATGGCAGACCAAGATTCCTGATGGCACACATGCTAGTCCCCTTCCTCTGGGCCCTGCTGCCTTGTGCAGTGGTAAATAAACTAACCTTAGGTGAGTGGATCCTGGAATATCTGTGGGGTACGCGGGCAGTGTGACTCTAGTCTCGGCTTCAGCTGATGGGTCAGAAGCCAGGCTCCAGTGAAATCCCCCTGCCTTCCTGTTTTCAGGAGCCATCTGCAGGGACTGGGGAGGTCCTTCTGTCAATCAGCTACCTCCCAGCTGCCAATCGCCTCCTGGTGGTGCTGATTAAAGCCAAGAACCTCCACTCCAACCAATCGAAGGAACTTCTGGGCAAGGGTAAGTGAGGCTGCAGGGAGACAGGCAGGGTGCCCCACTGCATGCAGAAAGCAGTGGTACCTGGTATAAAATGGAGACGGGTCAACAGGGAGCTGACAGGAGTCCATTTGTGGAGTCACCCTCAGCATGTTGCCCAGGATACACTAGTCAGTTATGGCAGACACACTGATGCCTTTAAGTTCTCTCACATCTCTGCTACTGTTCCCACTGTTCCCACATGCTCCCACTCTTTTCTCTGTCCCAAGCCTTGGCCAAATGACCCCCATACACACCTACCGAGTTTGGGTGACAATAGCTGATGTGTGGCTATGAGGGTAAAGTCTGGTGCCTAAGGAGTCTATAGCATGGATGCCCACATAAGCCTCTTCATAAAAGCCTGCAGGCTTCGGGTTACCTTCTGATACCTGGGCACAGGTCCCTAGCCTTGGGGATCAAGGAGACTCTCCAGCAAGGATGAGCTGGGCCATACCTGCATATGGAGCGAGATCTCAATAACACAGAAATCATCATTACATATAAAAAGTTACAAAACAGATTCACCCTGCATTCCTAACAGGTCTTGGGCAAATGAAATTAGAATGGCTATTGTTGCAGTCCTGAGCCACAGGTCAGAGGTGAATGCCTGGCTTCATCCCTTCCAGTCAATTCTATCTTGCCTTTTTTTTTTTGTAAATAGCTCCCATCAGGACCGTTACAGAAGAGCACTTTGTGTCTGAAATATCTCTGCAGAAATAACAAACTAACCACCCAGGGGCGATAACGATAGCAATAAATACAAAGTAACAATTATTCTCACATTAGCTTGGGCAGCCTTGACTAATGAAAGCAAAAATGTCCTAAGCTGTGGAAGCTTGCCTGCTGACTTGTGAATTTCCTGGGGGATCTGGGGGCAGGGAGCCTGCCTTCATCCTCTCCATAGGAAATCCAGGTACTCAAGTAAAACTTAGAAAAAAAGACAAGTGACCAGAACTCGGCCAGCCAGGAGGTCATTCACCATCTTAACAACCGGCACAAGGGCTTGACTGGAGAATGAAGAAGATAAAGGGGAGAACACTTTTTCTGGTCTGATTAGAAATTGAATTGGAGGACACCTAAGCTTTGTCCCTGACTTGGTGTGTCAAGTCGCTTAGAAGGGCTTACAGCCAAAGTGGTTCCCCAAAGACCCTCTGACATGCCAGGGTCTGAGTTACAGACTTCATATGTTTTGTGAAGGTTATGTATCTCTAATTGAAAAATCCAAAATCCAATAAACACCAACATCTGAATGCTCTTGACCACTAGTGGAGAATTCTACCCCAAAACACTTGGGGGGTTTTATGTTGTATAAAAGAATCTTCAAGCTGTGTGTATAAGATGCTTGTGAAACCCTAGGGGTTAGACCTGGAATCCCAGCTACTATGAAGGCAGGAAGACCTCAAGTTCCAGGACTGCCTGGAATGTAGAGAAAGTTCAAGACCAGCTAGAATTACATAGTACATCCCTGTTTCCAAATCAAAAAAAAAAAAAAAAAAAGAAAGAAAGAAAGCTGGAGATTTGCTTGGTGGTAGAATGTTTGTGTAGCATGTGTAAGGCTCTAGGTTCAAGAAAAAAAAAGAATCATTAAATTAATTTTATACTGACACTTGAGTCCCATCCCCAAGATGAGTGTGTGTGTGTATGCAAATACTCTCTAAGTCTGAAAAACACCCCAAATCTGTGAGGTTTATGGTCCCAAACCTTACATATAAAGATACTCAACAGATATGACAGCTTTGCCCCTCTTCCTAAATCTAGGCCAGTGCCTGCCCTCTAGTAGATACTTAATACCTGTTGAGCAGATGGATGGTCCAGCGGAGGTGTATTCCAGGCGCCATCAGACCCTAGCAGCTCACCCCTCACCCTGACTTTCTTTCCTCTGTACCCTTCCCCAGATGTCTCCGTCAAGGTAACCTTGAAGCACCAGGCTCAGAAGCTGAAGAAGAAACAGACAAAACGGGCCAAGCACAAGATCAACCCTGTGTGGAATGAGATGATCATGTTTGAGCTACCCGATGACCTGCTGCGGGCATCCAGCGTGGAGTTGGAAGTGCTGGGCCAGGGAGAGGAGGGTCCGAGCTGTGAGCTGGGCCACTGCAGCCTAGGCCTGCATGCCTCGGGCTCTGAGCGCAGCCACTGGGAGGAGATGCTAAAAAATCCACGCCGGCAGATTGCCATGTGGCACCAACTGCACCTGTAGTCGGCTGCTGGCCACCAGCCTTGTCCTTCTTGGGCACAGTCATCCTCCAGACTCAGCTTCAGTCGTCCACTCCTGCCCCTGTCCACATGCCTACACCCTAAGACAGACGCAGACATGTTGGCTGCAGCCGGGGCCTCATTCCTCTCTTTCTATATCTCCAACACTAAAAAGTGAGCAGAGCCATCAGGGTAGTGAGTGGGACTGGCACATCAGGGCCACTCAGAAGACTGTGTCTTGATCATCTGTGTTATGGAAAAAGATGTGTGCCAGGTACACTCTGTCTTGGCTCACTTTAGTCTAAAGCAGCAGTTCTCAACCTGTGGGTCCTGACCCCCTTGACAAACATCTGTCTCCAAAAATCTTTACATTACGATTCACAACAGTAGCAAAATTAGTTATGAAGTAGCAATGAAAATGATTTTATGCTTGGAGGTCACCATAACATGAGGAACTGTGTTAAAGAGTCTCACCATTAAGAAGGTTGAGAACCACTGGCTGGCCAGCAAGTCCTTGGGCCACTGGGGTCACGCCATATTGATGCTCTGAACGGAATTCATGGGGCATCTATCCTTAACAAGCACGGGGTGGGGGGAGAGGGCGCGGCATCTGGAGTAGAGCAGGAGGGGCTGCGACTGATGAGATCTCTTCTACACTAACCAGACAGATGTTCCAACCTTGTCCTCCAGGAGCTCCACACCAGGGCAGTGTGGGGAAGAGAACTCTCTGCTTACTTAACCCCCCCCCCCGCCTTTTCTATTCCTGCTGTTCGTATCCCACTCTGGAAAGGCATTGTGTGTTTTGACTGTTTTATTTAAGAAAACAGGGTGGGTTTTTTTAAAATCATACCCAAGGAACCCTTTCCCTGACAAGTTCTGGTGGCATCCTCTGGGGTGGTTGCCACATTCTGAGGGCTAGCTGACATGTCCACCAGTGTCACCCACCCCCTCAACTGACTGTGTGGGACAGACCTGTCCTTCTCAGCGTGCCCGTACTTCAGGAGGAAGCAGCTCTGAGCTTGGCCTGTTCCGTCTGTCTGACTAAGTGAATGAGGAGGGGGATAACAAAGAGAAAACATGGCCTCCTGAAATGTACCTCCAGTTTGGGGGGCGTGTCCCTTTAACTGGAAAATAACAAGAAGCTAAGTTTGGAAATATCTGCCTCAGTTGATATTTCTGATAGATGCCCCCACTAGGAATTAAATGTAAGTGGCTGCAGGCAAAGCTACCCGTGAGCAGAATTCGAGTTGTCAGTTACTTCCTTGCTCTACAGCGCCTCAGTGTGGCCATCTGTAGCACAGCACCGATATCATGGGAGCCTGCTAGAAAAGCTTCAGAAGACAAGCAGCCAGGCATTAAGCAGACATCAGTTGTCACTACTCACCTGATGGCACTTCCTAGTTCCTCTCATGGCTGTGCTCCAAAACTTCCTCTGTAAATTACTCAGAGGTGTCAGACAGATGAATCAAAAACCTTCAGTCACCTTTTCCATCGGCGTAGCCTGTTTCCAGCCATGCTTGTAAGTTGCCTCTGAATCAGCTGAATCTTCGTGAACAGTTGGGATCAGTGGGAAGGAACCTAAGTCTTTGCCAGGGAACACTTTCTGGCAAGAGACCCAAGCTGAGGCGAAAATAAAGTGAGAGGCCATTTCAGGCTGGGCTGCTGCCGGGCAGTTAGGAGTTCACCCCAGTGCTCCTGAGTCCCCTCCCAATGTCAACTAGGTATCTTACCTGTTGAGTGTTTGCCCACCAAGACGTTGCATGTGTCTGTCCATTCTGATCTGAGATGACTCCAGGGGCGAATGAACAGCACATCACCTTAATGGAAACAACAGATAACAGGAGCCAGAAGAGCAGGTGGGTTGAACTGCTCTCAGTTGTAAAGGGGCCTGGGGGAAGGTGGCAGTCTCTGAACTGAGCTGAGCTGGGAATCTTCAGAGGAGAAAGTTAGTCCTGTGGAGTGTTTCTGCCCTTGGTGTTTCCTGTTGTTACATGCTGCGTGTTCATTATGCAGTCCCAAATAAAAGCACAAAAAGACGCATGAGACATTGTGGTCACATGTCTGGTCACACTTTGGAACACAAATCTCACAGCGGTAAATAAATCATTTTCCAAGGGTTTGGCAGCCCAGTGGTTTTCTTTGTTCCTTTTCCTTAATATTTTAGATATAGAAGATTTAGGGACAAAATAGTGTGGATTAAGTACACATGAACCACCTCCAACTTCAATGAACCTTGACAACTACAGTTGAATTCCCTTCTAGTGCCCTATGCTGAGAAGAGCAAGATCTTGCATTCTGATCTGTTATCACAAGCATTCCTTTATAGCTTTAGTATATGATCATGGAAACCCTGGGCATTAAAGAGTATCTGTGTGTTTCTAAGCTTTACTTAAATTCTTAAATTGCACCATACTATTTTTGTTCAACATTAAAATTTTAAGCTCCAAGCAGACATGTGGTTCTAACTAATTACTCTTTCATAGCTATATAATATTCCACTATATGGGTCTACCACATTCCATTTTAGTGATGTTATTGATGCACACTTAAATCTCTCTCTCTCTCTCCTTCTCAGAAGTTATTTTATAGGAACTGCTACTGAGGACGTTCCTACGCATGTTTCCCATGTACATGTGTATTCTCTTGGAGATATGTCTAAATATGAGTGGAACTGCTAGGACAAAGTGTGTTGTCCTGGGATGAACTATCAGGTGGGCTCTTGTGACTCTTCAAGACTCCACCCCATCAGTGGAGGAGTAAGGAAGCAGAGGACAGCAAGGCGCAAAGGGCCCCGTGACATCCTGCCACCCTATGCCCTCTAGGTGACCACCTCAGTGCTGGCATCTGGAGGCGGTGTCTTGAGATTAAGCAAAAGATCAAGCCTGCCGGGCGGTGGTGGCGCACGCCTTTAATCCCAGCACTCGGGAGGCAGAGGCAGGCAGATCTCTGTGAGTTCGAGGCCAGGCTGGACCGATAGCCTCCAAAACAATACAGAGAAACCCTGTCTCGTAAAACCAAAAAAAAAAAAAAGAAAAAAGAAAAAAAAAAGATCAAGCCTGGATTTTATCTATTTATTTGGTTGGGTTTTTTTGGAGGGTTTATCTTATTTTTGAGACAGGTTCTCTATGTAGTCCTGGCTGTCCTTGAACTAACTGTGTGGACTAGACTGGTCTTGAAATCACAGATACTTGCCTGCTTCTGCTCCCTGAGTACTGGGATTAAAGAAGTACACCACCACAACTTGCTCAAAATGGAAGGTTCTTAACTAGGATAAATAATCTCTAAAACAATCATGTAACATTTTCACATGTGACTCCTTATTTTATACTTTCTACACCCATTATTACATGTTCATGGAAATGGGGACAGATTTGTATTTCTGTAATAAAATGGGTTAAGTGGGTTTTATTCCTTAGAGTCAAATATTAGACACCATAATTCACAGGTATCTATGAAGACAGTATACCTAAGCCCCAACCTAACATTTGGTTATGGATATATATGAAAGAGAAATGGAGATCCTTGGTTACTGAATCAAGGTCTTTCCATTGGAGTGCCCTCAACAGCAAACCATGCTGTGACAGGGAAAATTTACCTCTATCTGGAGTGCTAAGTCAGAGCTGAAACCCTGTAGCCCTGTGGGACACTGTCTCTGGCCACCATTACTCCCCCAAACTAGTCAATTGCCTCTGGGCCTCAGTGCCCATATCTATAAAATGAATGTGGACTTCATGACCCCAGGGCTTCTTTCAGGTTTAACATTCTGAAATTCTGTGATTTAGATTGTGTCTTAGTTAGGGTTATTACTATGATGAACCAAACAGCCATGACTAAAAGCAATTTAGGGAGAAAAGGGTTTATATTTGGCTTACATATCTGAAGTCATGGTTCACTGAGGGAAGTCAAGGCAGGAATTCAAACAGGGCAAGGACTTAGAGGCGGGAACTGATGCAAGGGCCATGAAGGGGAGCTGCTTACTTACTTGCTCCCCATGACTTGCTCAATTTGCTTTCATACAGAACCCAGGACCACCAGTCAGGGGTGGCACCACACACAATGGGCCCTCCCCGTTAATCTCTAGTTAAGAAAATGTCCTACAGGTTTGCCTGTAGCCTACAGACTGATCGTACGGAGGCATTTTCTCAATTGATGTTCCCTCCTCTCGGATGACTTTAGCTGTGTCAAGCTGGAGTAAAACTAGCCAACACAGACTAGTAACAACTTTGTTTTCACATGTCTCGTGTAGAAATAACAGGAAACCTACACAGGAGAGTGCCACCCTCTCTGCTCTGCTTTGGATAAAGCTTTGACACCTGCTGACTGTCCCTCTGAAGGCTACTGGTGCTTCCCTGAGCAATAGAGTGGCACCTGAGGCTTGGAGAGAGCTTGGTGTCATCTGTTTTACTGCTGCTGGGCACTGTACTTATCCACCCAAGAGTTCATACTTTTTAATGTCAGTTGGAGGCCACCATTTGGGAGATTCCATTTGGAGCACATGCCCATCTCCCTCCACAGCAGACATCTCCCAGGAATAAAGTCGAGCACACCTTTGTGCTGGAGAATGCCTGCCCCTGCTCTCCCTGCCCTTTTCTCTTGCGGGTAAACTGGTATAGATAGTCGTGGGAACTGAGCAGTTTTCCCCAGCCCAAGGTGAAGAAGCCAAGCCAGTCTTAGCATTGGGAAACAGATATTGTCATGGAAACCAGTCTGGTGGTGACCACTGTGATTAAAGCAGAGCTCCTATGGTGTCTGGTCGTTATCTGGGCTTTGTCGCTTGTCAGAGTGGTCTCCAACTCCCTGATGCTCCTTCCAGAGGTTTTGAGACACCTTGTTGGCAAATGTGGGTGGCAAAAGTCCTATTTCAGAAACTTGGATGCTGTCCAGGGACTAGTGAGAAGAACTTGCTTTTCCAGCCCAAAGTAACAAATCAAATTTCTCTTCAGCCCTTCCCCGAGGATTCAGGCAAGATGAGCAGGTACAAGCTGTGGAAGAAGCCCCAGTGCTCTCTCTCTCTGAGGAAGGAATGGTGGTTCCCGCTCAGGCTAAGGCATAGGCTATCCATTTCTCAGGTGTTCCCAGTAAGATTTCCCAGTAATCCCGCAATACTTCCCGGCACCTACTTCATCCTGATCAAAAAGGACACAATAGCAATGAAAAGGTAATTGTGCAGCGTTCTGTGCTAAGCAACTGAAGTAGACTGGGTCATGTGCTTCTAAAGACTGGGGAATTTTAATATGCTACTGTCTAGCCCTAAAGTCAAGACTCGTAAGATACATCCAGTCGTCTTATAGTTCCCAAGTGTTACCTGGAACTACAGAGTCCAAACATGGATAACCCAGAAAGAGCTGGGAAAATCTTTTTCCCTCCAGGGTATAGAGGATGTTTGGTGATTTGGCTGGGACCCTGTCCAAGGGCAAGAACAAGGAGCATAGACAAATTTGCCCTTCTGATTGTATGAGGAAACCAAGACAGAGACAGACAATGAGGAGGAATCCAGGACTCCGGCCGTGGCCATTACAGGTGCTGGGATTGGAGCTGCTCACAAGCCTTTATCCCTTCAGCACACACTTGGTGACAGGCAGTGCTCACCACAGAATGAAATGATTCTACTTTTCTCTCACGGGCATTACTAAGGAAAGGGTGCTCTCTCTCTCTCTCTCTCTCTCTCTCTCTCTCTCTCTCTCTTTCTCTCTTTCTCTCGCTCTCTCTCTCCCACATTCATACACATACATACACAGAGAGATAGAGATAGAGAGATAGATAGATAGATAGATAGATAGATAGAGCAAGAGACAAGTGGCCATAAAATTCCCCTATTAAGAAGGTGGCATTTTGCCACAACCTGCTGCCATGATGGGAACAGTTGTCCCAAACAGGGGGCTCATGATATCAACTAGGGTTCCTAGATAGATATTTTTAAAAAACCATTGGCAGGTAGTGGAGGACCACGTGAACACTAAGTGAGGACAAGATGAGACACGGAGGCAGACAGGGACTGGAACTGGAGCACACAGGGATGATTTCCTCTGAGAAACACAAGCACATGCCAAGAGAGCACCATGGCTAGATCTGCTTTTAAAGGCTGCCCTAGATGCTGTCACAGAAGCTCTGCTGGTCTTCAGGCCATTTGCCAGGCTCCTGAGTCTTCTCTCTGGGGTGACTTCAACTTGTCCTTTGGATCTTGTTGAGTAGAGTTGGGGGAAAGAAGGAAGTTAAAAGAAAGAATTTACTACATCCTCCAAGAGTCACTCTGTGGAGACGGACTTCACAGGCAAGGACGGGTGTGGGTCTTTCCTTTCTTGCTTTCTGGTGACAAAATCATCAAGTTTCGGAAATTTATGCAATCCTGGGTCAGTTAGACCTGGAGGTGTTGTATAACAATCTCCTCCCAGTTTAAACATTCCATTCTAGAGAAAGGCTCCTTTAGATTCTGGAAGTAAACAATTCACACTGACACTGACTAGATTCACAAGGCCCCTCCCCATCCCAGTAGGAGTTGACTGGATTCTGCAAGTAATACAGAAAGCTCCAGGGTTCCAGCTTTCATAAGTTGTCATCTGTGCTGGGGTAGGCTTCTAGTGATACAACTTGCCTTCAAGTTGTCCATTCTTCTGTAAGCAAGCCTTCACCCATACTCCTGTAAGGAACCCCAATAAAAGTGTTACAGCAAGTTACTACTTTGGTCTGTCACTGGTTCCCTTTCTAGAATGAGGAAATATTTATTCACGTCTCCCCCTAAAATAGTAACACAAAACATAATTGGTTCCCAAACAGCCACTGACAAAACCAAAGATGAGCAGGTGGTAGCAGTGGAGGTAGCTGCATGGCCTCTGCAGCAGATGCTGTGACGTAAAACTGAGGCTGATGGTTGCGAAGGTGGAGCACCTGGGAAGGTAGTCCTCAGTGTGGCGACCCTTCCCCCAGGAGGACTGGAATGTTGTGCCTCCTTTATGTAGTGTTGGTTGCAAGGTTCATTCGATGGTCAACAAAATACACAACAAGGCTGGACTGCCTGAGTGGAGAATCTTGGGAAGGGAATCCCATCTTCCTCTGCACGGCATGGAGTGGCACATCTCCTCAATGCATGGGGTCCCTTACCCACCCCCAGAGTAGGAACTGTAAAGTAGACCCGAGTAAGATGGCTCACCAGACTGGGGCGCTTTGTCAGCCACACAAGGCTAATGGAAAGGCAAGAACCATCGTGCCGGTCTGGAGCCTGTCAAAACCAAGGGGCTGGCTCCAGCAATGGGCTTGGCAGGCTAGAGCGAAGCCCTTGGGTTTGAACTGAGCCGAGGAATACAAACCAGACCCACCAAGACCATTAGGGGTTGAGAGATGCATAGTGTCCCCATGACAGCAGCATGATGCCAGGATGAGGAGGCAGATGGATGAGAGGAAATGTCTGTGAATCATGGAAGGCTAAAAGGGGCAGTGTCTCTCATTCAGTCACCATACCCAACACTGCTCTTTTGACTAAAGAATTGATAAGTCATGAGATCTTTTTATACTGTATTGGACTTTACTAACTTTTATTTCTATCACCCCCTTAGCTGTCCAAGAACAACTAAGATTTCATATGTAGGATGGATACCAGTCTTAGAGACCCTGCCCACCCTCTGTAAAAAAGGCTTCTGTTGCATAATGCCAACCCTCGAGCATTTTTGGATTTGTAAAGACATGTAAGAGATCAGTAGTGGCAATGGTTAAATTTAAACAAAGACATAGACTTGTAATATGATGGGAATGAGCACTCACAGGAGTCAAAGGGTGGTTGGACAAAAAGCTCAGAGTGGGGAATTGTTGGCCAGGGAGGCCCCAGGGGTCACCAAAATAATATCATCTTCACTACTGTTGGTTGCATGCCAGAACTGGATAACATGACCCTATGGGTGAAGACAATGCACATTCTGATAAGACATGAAGAAAACAAGGCTAGGATGAACTGAATATTCACTCCGTTCTGGCTTGTTTTTATATTGCTGGAAGTAGAGTGTAGCCTGCTAGGGTACAGTTGTTAGCAGTGGCCTTACTTGGCTGTGGACCCTAAAGCTATACTATCATAGTAACAAGAAAGGCGTGACTGCAGGTGCTGCAGTAGCATGAGCTGTTTAGGGCTCAACAAGCAACCTTCTGGTTGGATTTAAGGCCCACTCCACAGGAAGGAATTCATGTCTGACACTGCAATCTAGGACAAAAAAAACTGTGGCTGGGAAGGTCCTAGGACCCAGTAGGGAAATAACTGCTGCTGGTGTTTGTTACATGGATGTGATATGGCATTGTTGAACTTTTCTCTAAACACTGTGTGCTTAGGATAAGCCATAGGGCACTGCTGCCAGCTGCTGTTGGTCATAAAAGGGTGTTTCCTTTACAAGTGATGGTGGACTGGCAGAGCCTAATAACCACCAGTGAAGGCTCAAGAAGAGGCTGTTTCTGTGGCAGAATAGCCCAAGGCTTAGACACATCACTCCTCCAAGGCTCAGAGACACCACTGACAGGGAATAGAAAAGATCAAAAGAACTAGAAGGGGTTTAGTGCTGTGTTTAACAATTTCCTCTGAATTGAAACATTGCATCCTGGGTGGATGCTCATTAGGGATGCTTCTTAAGACTCTGAAAATAACTCACAAGTCTCAGGAAATCCCTGAAACTTAATCAGGCTCCCAAGGTCCTGTTCTCTCTAATGTTGTGTCAGTAGTAACGGCAGAATCTCCTACCTGTTAAGTTGTTGCAAACTGCCAAGATGTTGCTAGGGTTCCATCATTCAGGAGTCATCACTCATGCTGGAACAGGCCTTTGGTAATATAGCTGTGAGTCATCCACGCTTCTGTAAGTAAGCCCTTACCCACATTCCCCTAAGTGACCCCAATAAGCTCCCTGGCTCACCAAGACGGACTTCGGTGGAATCCTTCCTTTGGTCTGTCACTGGATTGAGAAGATTTTGTTCACATCTCTCCAGAAATAGTGTCACACAACAGTCACTAGGTGACCAGTGTGGAGGTAGCGGTGCTTCTGGGCTGAAGGAAAGTGTCTAATGGTAGGAAGGCAGAAGTAAGGAGAAAGGAAGAGGAAGACCACTGTGAAGATCCTGGATGGGGAAGGGGTCAAGAGTGGAGGCCTCCGCATCACAAGGGGAAAAACCCCCATGTAGAGCAATGTCATTCTTAACTACATGCCTAACTCCTTCCTCAAAAAAAGTGGGAAAAATCTCCCTCCCACCAGTGCCATCAACAAAGCACTGAGGAAAGACCCTCAGTGGAGGCCAGGCCTGCCTGCAAGTGGAAAGTCACCAAGGGCAGTTGAGCAGGGGAGCCAGAGCGAGCTGATCTGCTTCCTTCCCCAGAGATCCCTGTGGGGCCAGTGCCACACTTTCTTTGGCCTGGTGGATCCATGCAGGGGCTTTGGCAGAGAACAGCCAAAGAAGACTCCAGTTCCTCCAACCCCACACCTGAGCCTTTGATGGGGTCCCCATGACTCACTGAGGCCTGTCACAGAGGCAAGGAGCCAAGCTGGGTGCGTCAATTTAAATGCTTTTATTAATAATCTCCTTACATTACAAGGATAATGTGACAAAAGGAAAGACTCTGCATACAGATTATAAACCAGCATAGCTCTATTTGTATCCAGTGTTCTAGCCCCCAACACACAGGTACTATAAAGCACAGTCTGCCAAATAATAACATTGAGAGTTGTTCTTAAGAAAGAAAGTATTAACATATTAATATGCATGTGGTAATAGGCTCCTATGAATTCCCCCCACCCCCACTTAATTGTTTTTCTTTGTGATTGGCATGAAAATGGTTCAGCAGCATGGGGGTGGAGAGGAGGAGAGAGACCAGGGCTGATAAAGACTACTGGTTCTTCCAGAGAGGTCAAAGGGTAAACTGAGGGACACCCTAGGACATCCTGGCCATTGTCTTCTTACGAGCAGTATTGTGAGTGGTTGCCCCCTCTGCACGGCGGCTGGTCCCCTCGATGCCCTGTGGCATGTTCTCTCTCTCTGAGGTACAGTGCATTGTGGGATTGCTACTGGGAATGCCTATCCCCAGGCCAGGCTCTGACCCACTTTAGTGGGAGGAAGGCTCAGGCCGTGGGTCCTGAGCTCCACTGGGCCAGGCACTAGAGGGTGTTCAGCCTGGTTCGCAGCTAGCTGTGGCTCAAGGAAGTGGCACTGGTAGAGCAGACCTGGTCTCTATTGTGGTCTGGGACTGGTCTGCTGAAGACTGAGGTCCGTTGGTAGCATGGTGAGGAAGAGCAGGGGAACACCCGCGAAGGCTCGGTATGGGAAATGAGTGCGTTTGTGGAGCCCAGAGGCAGGCTGGTCTGGAGAGCAGGGGGGGGGGTACCTGTTGTTAGACCCTTTCTGCTTCCAGGAGAGAGAAGGGAATAGAGGGCACTGGGAGAGATAGGCTTCTGAATCCCATCTGACAGCCCAAGCCCTCTGCCATGCTGCCAGCTGGCCAGACTCCCTGGGCTCCCAGGCATCCCCACCCAACTTGGGGGGTTGTTTTGGGACAAGCTGAAGAAGATACCCTCCCCAGAGAGAGTGGGCTTGGGCATCCAGTGACAGAATGAGAACAGTGTTTGTGAACTAAACCTAAACCTGCCGTCACAGCAGCAGAGGTGGGTTGGGCTACTTGTTGGTTTGGGAAGAGGGGACAGCATTGTCCTGAGTACAGCCAGCAGCTGTGGCTGTGCGGAGTGGGCTGGGCCAAGGCCCAGCTCCTGAACTTGAGTTGCCATTGAAAATGTCAGTGTGCAGCTATATCTCTTCCACCAGGTGGGGCCTCTGGATGGGGAGAGGCAGTACGACCTAAAGCTCCCGCTGCCTTCCTCAACTCCTGGTGCTCTAGAGACAGTGGTTGGATGGGTGAAGGAGGCCAGAACGGCTGTACTTGACAGGTTTGGTCTCCACGGGTAGACAGAAGCATCTGGGATGTGGGGATGACATCGTTCCAGACAACTGTCATCCCAGATACTCCTTTTCTATTGCCATCAATGCTGCTCATTCCTGATAGGGGAGGGCATTAGGGAGTTTGTGCAGAGATCCCTCCACTAGGGGTCATGGACCAAGTCCAAGCCCCTACTGCCAAACAGCAAGGGAGAGGTAGGGGCTGCTGCAGCTGGACCTCAGGGGTGTCTCCTTCCAACCGCAGCCTGAGCTGGCCAGGAAGGAGAGAAAGTGCATGGGGAGAGCTGGGACCCAGCCACTCTCCTCTCCAACACCCCAAGGAAGGGGCCCCACAGTGGCCAGCAATCCAGCTTAATGAGCATTCCCACCTCCCCTCCAGAGCTCGGTCTCCACCCTCCCCTCTGCCCAACCCAGCACCAGGTGTGCCCACCACCTTTCCAGCTCTATAGACTATTTTTATATCTATTTAAAACATAGAAATATATAAATATATAGGATATTATTTATATATATATAGACGTGATTTACTCTCTCACTCTGCGTGTATACGTTCTGTATATGTCGGTATATACAATTGATATGCCTTAGCATCAGTATGATACACTGCACATACCCCTGCCTCCATGCACAGCCTCCTGGGGAGGCTGGATTGCATAGGTATTTCTAGGGTGATGCCATTGAAGGGATTGGGGAAGGGGAGAGTGTGCTAGATGGAAGAGGAGGGCCATACTATTTTCCTCTCCAAAGGGCACTTTATCGCCCTCTGATTAACATGCAAAGACTCTTACTACCTCAAAGACTCTTACAACCGCCCTGACTGACAGAGGACAAGTGAAGGGCGTTCCTCTGAGGAGAAGGACCATGCACATCTGATGCACTTTCTCCCTTGAGGATTGGAGGAATGGTCAAATTAGAACCCAGAGCAGTGTATAAAGGAGTGATCCCACCTAAACTGCCTACTGTGTTCTCCTTCCCTCACTTCGGGGAACTACTCTCCCTGCTTCCGTTGCTAGCCCAGTCTGACTGGGCTGCCTCCTAAAGGACACCCAGGGCACACATGAGCTCCAGTGAACCTGGGGCCTATGCGCAAATGGGGTGCATGGACCACAAAAAAAGCACAAATCTGATTTATAATTTAACACAGACCAGGTTAAGATGTTGAATGCCTGTTTCCAGGGAGGCAGAAGTGAAAAACAAAGGAGTGTTCTAGAAAACAGAAATAATTAGACTTCAGCCCAGGTGGCCTCTCCTGGTCCCATCTAGCTCCAGGTAGGCAGCAATGGCCTGCAGCCCTCAAGCTCAGGCTGGGTAACATCTGAAGTCCATTTCTATCTCTACGGCCACGTCCACCTTTACACCTTCCTCCGTTTCTCTTCCTCCAAACAAAGGAAAAACACTTAAAAGGGTGTTTTACATCACTCCAAGGTCCTTGCACAAAATCAAAGGTCTGGTATGAACAAACCAACGAGAAACCTCAGCAAAACAACACAAGTTGGGAACACACAGCCCGGGGGACTCCAGGCACCTCAGACTCAAGGGCTCCAGGCAGAACTTGGCTCCAGAGGGTCCTGGAGTGCAGTGGGCTCTCATTCCCCAGTGAGGATGGGGCAAGGCAGATGTACCTGCATCGTGAAATGCCACAAACAGACCTGACACTTCTGATGCCTGAATTCTGCTGTCCCTGCAGGGATTCTAACTGGGCAGGACTGCCCATGGACTGAGTAGTCCTCCTGTCTCACACACGCTAAGGAGTTTGCTCAGGAGAACATTTCAACCATGTGGTTCTGCAAGGAACCTGGTTGGCACAGCAGACACAAGCATCAGTCTTCAACACCGTTGCACGTCCTACTCTCACCGTGAGCCAAGGAAAGTCACTATTAGTAATCCCAGAGCGAATAAGTGTCAGCCCCACAGACACACTCATTCTATGCCCATGACTACCACTTCTACACCTGGGACTGAGTTCCAGGGCCCTGTCCCATCAAAAACACCTGCATTTATACTGCAAGGTCTGCCTCTCCAGTCTGTTAAACCAGCCAAGATATGAAGGGAACCAGGCACCCTTCTTTAAGAGGAGCATGGGAAAGGCCCGAGGCCTGAGATCACCAGGCATCAAAAATGAAATTCACTGGGCAGAAGCCCTGACCTCCCAGGAGCATGCAAGGTGGGAAAAGACTGTGGGATGGGTGGTGGTGGTGGGGTTCATCCACATCCTTCCTTAGTCACTCACCATCCTGAGGCAAGGTGGCCTGTAGGGCATCTGTCACAGCCCTGCTTGGCTGAACCAGAGTCACCAGCATCCAGAGTTTCAGAGGCACCTAGCCGAATGTAAGACAGCATGAGAGCTCAGCTTCTCAGAGGCTCTGAGGCAGAGGCCATTGCGGCAGAGAACAGGTGTGTGGTTGTCAGGGAGACAGAGGACCAGGAAATGGATGACTGTTTGCAGTCGCATTCTGCCAGAACAGTTCATTCTTCTAGGCCTCAAGGCAGGTCTACTGCTCCTGGGTGTCTTAAGGGGGTTCAGGTTAACATTGGCTTGGGATGGCAGAACCTGTCTCTGTGGCTGACGACTTGAGTTTGCTCAGCCATAACCTCTTGGGAGGCAACAGTCAATCCTGGTTTCATGTCTGGCCTATAGCCATCCCAGACAGGGCCTTTCCCAGGTGAGGAAGCCCCCTTCACTGGGGAGGAGAGGCGTAAGGCAACTGTTGGCAAGAGGGAAAGGCCAGGCCACCATCTTATGCCTGCAGGCTGTCCATGAGAGACCTGCCTTGCCAGCCATCCCTACTCTGAACCCCCCTTGGTTCATTCAATTTTCAATGAAAACTCCCCAGACCAGCCTGTCTGTGAGGAGACGAGGTCCCAGGGCAGGAGTAGGGCAAATGGGAGACCTTGTGCTTCACAACAGCAGCCCATGTGGCTCCGGCCAAGCTTTGGCCAGCAGTGGGAGGGGCAGCTGGAGGGAGACACCAGCTAGAGCTGGTGAGTGGGATGAGGCTGGAGACTCCCAAGGCTCTGAAAGGGCTCTGGGTACTCCTTCCCTAGTTCCTGCTAACCCTCGCTGCTCAGAGTGCAGGGAGTAAAGATGGGGACCAGAGTGAGGCGAGGGATGAAAGGTCACCAGGCAGGGTATATCCTTGTTGGAGAAGGCAGCATAAGGAGCCTGGCAGTGGGACAGTTGGAAAGGACCCAGCTTTTTGTTTGCTTAGTTTTGTTTCTTGTTTTAACATGCTACATCACTCTTGAAAACAAAAACATTTCAAAAATAATATATAATATATTTATATCATGAAAAGCTATTGGCTAGCAGCAATGATTCTAAAGTTATCTTAGCACCAAGACCATGGAGGCAAAGGGAGGATCTGAGGGAGGACGGACAGACTGCAGAACCGGGAAAGGGTAGCAACATGTTCAGTGTTAATGACGTTTCCATGAGGCCTCAGAGATGAGACGAACCCAAAAGGAAGGAAGCTACCATGTAGTTATAGGCCCAGCTAGGCAGGTTGAGGGCATGGGGGCCTTGCCTGTGGTTGGATCTCTAATATCCCCACGAAGGAGAGAGACAGCTCACTGCAGAACTGACCATGGGCAGGTGCTTCGGATCTTCCTCCCTTCCCCATACACAACCTGTATCCACATTCTGGGATCTGCACAGACCAGATGTGGAAACAGGAGGGGAGGTATTAACAGCTCGCGCACACTTCTGAAAACCCTTTGTGAGGTATACTGGTAGAAAAATGAACATTGGTCAGACTCCTCTAGCTTAAACCACTGTCTGCCCTGGGTGGAGGGAGACAAGCGGCCATTCCTAAAGCTTATACTGTGGCTGCAGTGTGGTGTGTGTGTGTGTGTGTGTGTGTGTGTGTGTGTGTGTGTGTGTAGTTGTGCACACATGTTTGTACCTTGAGAATCCTGCCTCACTTCCTGTTTTCTCCTTTTCTTTAGGACATCTCAACCCTACTTAAAATAGGAGGAGTTGATAGGCAGAGAAACTGCCCGGTGTCCTGACATACCTGCCAGGCTACATAGCATATCATCAGCCTGTTGCAAAGGGGCAACCTCTCTAAGAACTCTCACCTGGGTTCTGTACAACCCAGGACATGACTTGCATTGACGGATTCTGTCCTCAAACTACAAAACAGCTGCTCCTTAGTTACTAAAAGAAACCCAAATCCCCCACCACATTTCATAACTAAAAGAAATACAGGTAATCTGTGGAAGTTGAACATACAATTTTCATTTTACTTGTTTTTAGCCAAAATTGCGGTCCTGTTGGGGTTTAGATTTCTTGGCTCACTGTCTCCCTAACAGCCTCCATGTGAATGGAAATATAGTGTTTTATCCTCTGTTGAGGCATAAAGCTCACCCCTCTCTCTGTTCACCAGATTTCAAGCTCAAGTGTGAAAAAAAAGTTGCCTTCAGTGTAACACCTAATATCTTTAACCTCCAGAGGCCTGAAGAAGGGAACGGACAACCTAGGGATGGAGGGGTGGCATGGCGGGATGTGGCGGGTTCACAGTTAAGGGGGACTGACACATTTGCTGGTGAGACAGGTGAAGGAATCACTCAGAAAATGCACAAAGAAAGATCTCCCAAGCTGAAGTCAGGTGATGGGAGCAAGACCAGACAGTCCAATCCAGAAACCCAACTCACCCCATGGAAACCCGGACACAATGTAACTGGACCGGAACAGAATGCCAACCAGGAGACCACAACCGCCACCCTCCAGTCATAAAACCATACCAAAAAGGAGAAGGCGAGAGTGTCGCCCCAAGCCCCAGCCCGTCAACTAATACATGAGAACAGAAACAGAACAAGCCACCTGAAAGTGACGAGGAGAATCACCATTTAGCTTATGCTGCTTTTATGTTTGGTGGGAACATGTGTGGCCCCAGAACACGCTCGCATGAGTGAGGATGAGTTGCAGCTGCCGAGTGTGGAGACGAGAGTCAGTTGCCAACATTGCTCCTTTCAAAAAGCTGTCAGTAGCTTCTGGTGGCACATCACCTTAGTTTTTAAAAAAATTTCAGTGTGGGTTTTATATATATATAATATAATATATTTATATAATATATCAAAGCTTATGAGTATAGATTAAAAAAATATTCACCGGCTTTGTGACCTCTGCAGTGCAGGCCCCCTACATGTCTGGGTAGAACTCAGAGCCGTGGTCCACGGCCTGCAGCATGGGCTTCTGCTCCAGGGCAGACATCCTACTGAGGACCTCGGCTGACAGTGTGTAGCTGTTGCCAGACTTCTCCTCAAACCAGCTGTCCAGGGCTCGCTTGGCATCAAAGTTGGCAATGGGTGGTCCATTCACAGCAATTGTCAACAGGTCACTGAGCTGCTCCAGGGTGAGGCGGGAGCGGTGGTTTTTGCGGACCCGCTGGAGGGCACTGCGGCCTTTCTCGCAGCAGGCAGTGGAGGTGGGGAGGACTTTAAGGACCTGAATGATCTTGTTCAAGAGCGGAAACCTTTGCTTGTACTTGCAGATGTGATTGATGAGGTCTTTGAAGCCATTTTTGGTGTAGTAATCAGCCTTGAGGTCTCTCCACTCCATCAGCAGGCTCCCCCGGGGATCCACCCCTTCACGGCACACATCCCGGGAGAAGGTAGGAATGGCTTCCAGGTGGTCGAAGATCTGGACCATGTCTTCCTTGCCAAAGCTCAGGAGCTCTTCGCTGTTCCTGGGCCATGCGGCTAGGTCGAACACTTGGCAGGCCTTCACGAAGACCCGGCTTCGGGAATCAAACCTTTGTGCCAGAATGACCTGTGTCTTCTGGCAGATCTTCTCCCTGATGGACTGGAACTTAGCCTCGGCCACCCTGAGGTTCTTCACGGCGATCCCATTGAAGCTCTCTCGGAAATTCTCCTCGAATTCCTGCAGGTACTCCCCCGGGGAGTCTGCAAGCCGGCTGATCTCCTGGATGGCCTCCTCGATCTTGTCGTCCACCTGCGACACCAGGAGGTACTCTCCCTGGAAGACGTAGGCCAGGCGTGAGAGCACGGCAATCACGTCAAGTAGGAAGTAGATAAGCTTGATGGACTGATAGTCCATGAGGAACTGCAGCAGGGCCAGGGCAATGGCTGAAGCGTCTGCCCTCTGTGTCTGGCTGCTGACATCCTTGAGGTGGGCCACCACTTCCAGGTAGTCCTTGATGAGGGCGTTCAGGACATTCTGCTCACCAATGATCCACCTCACGGCACGGATGTCCCCCAGGAATTCCGTTTCCTCGCACAGGGTGGAGGCCGTGGAGCGCAGCTCACACATGAGACGCGGTGAGTAGCGGTAGAAACTGAGTAGCTGCTTCAGGTTGTTTTCCAGCTCCTCCAGGCAGGGCAGCTCCTTCCCACTGATGGCATCCAGGATCTCAAGGTGGGGCCGGTGCACCATGAAAGGCAAGCACAGCAGCCAGGGCAGTGTCTTGCGGATGGTCATGAACATGCTGGCACGCAGGCTGGCCGTGATGTTGGCCCCATCCACTCCCAGGCCGACAGTGGGCTTCTCGTCCTGTAAGCGGATGCCCAGACCAGCAAAGGCCCGGTCAAGCGCCTGGAGATAGCTTTCTGTGCTGGAGAAGCCTAGCTCCTGCAGGGATAGGAATTCTGTGGCTGGGGGCCCATCGCTGCTGGTGTACTGCACATAGACGGCCACTGTGTCAGCCAGAAGGTCGTCACTCTGCCCATCCAGGATGATGCTGAGGCAGGGTGACTGACGGATGCGCTCCACCAGGTCCTCCCTCAGTGCCCGGGCGATGTGATGAATGAGGATCTGGCAGTCCCCCTCATTCATGTACTGGTCTACCACCTTGAGCTCACATTTTCGCAGCAGCTCTGCCAGCGGTCGGAAGTCCAGGTAGGGCCTGCCCTCCAGTGCCAGGTGGTAGGCAGTGTTGAAGAGCAGAGTCATGTTGCGGCACATCTCCTCTGTCTTCTCTGGGTGCATGCGCAGCTTGTACAGCTGCAGACACTTCTTATGCAGGTTGCTCTGGCTGTGCAGCTTGATGGTGTGGATCTTAAACTGCTTGGAGCCGATGATGAAGGCGGAAGTGCGTGAGGACTGCACCGTGTACTGGCGGCACACGTGGCACCACATCTCGTTGAGGGTTGGGGAATATCGTAGGAACCAGAATTTCTTCAGCCACTCCTGCTTGAAGCGCCGGATGCGGCGTCCGGTGGCAGAGGACATCTTGGTGGGTTCATCGGTTGCTGTCATCACATCATTGGAGACAGACTCATCTGCAGAATCCACTTCCTGGTCATCATCCTCCATGATGGCGGGGCCAGAGACCATGCTCTCTGAGGCTGGAAAACAAGAGGGGAAGACAACATTCACATGTGCTGTTGACAACAAGGTACCATGCTGGAGAACAGGCCCCATGGGGACGAAACCCCAGCCTGGAGGTGATTCAGGGGTACTCCTGCTCTCCGCACTGAGGCTTCTTCCCTGAGGATTGCCCATGGTGGTCCTTAGACACTACCCAGGCTCCAAGCTCCTGGCCCCTGAGCTCAGTCTTGACTTGTGGGTGCTTCTAGGATGGAATGTTCTAGAGGCAGGACGTTTGATGTCACACAGTCAGGTTATACTGGAGGACCTAGCACTGAAATGCCTGCCACTGATACGGTCAGAGTAAGTGTGTGGCTTTTAACCGAAGGCAGCCTGGATACTGAGGCAGATGTGTTTTCAGGTCTACTCATCCCAGGGTAGCTGGAATGGAAAGCTGAGGGAAACAACCTAGCTAAGCTGTAGCTAAGGTCCCCCATGGTCCAACAACTTGAAGAGACTCAGGGAGTCAGCAAAACAGGACAAAGTTGCACAGCTGTTGGCCCCAGGTCATCTGGTTCCTCATCCTTCTAGAACTCCAGGTTGGGAACCAAGCACCATGTAGGCAGGACAGAGTCTAGAAGAAGTGGACAAGGCTATGTTCCTGGGCTGAGGTCGGGAGCTATGAGAGCTCCCAGCAGACACCCTGTTTAGGACTGGCGAAGAGAGAAGTTGGGTCAGGGAGAGAAAACAGTGGGGGGTCCCCCTCCCCCAAGAGAAAACAACAGGTCAAGAACACAGCACACAGCCCTCCTGCAATGGGACATCCTTTATTGACAAGGAAGATACAGGTTGGCACATGCAATGCCCCCCGAGTTTTAAGCCAGCCTGCCTCTGGCACCCCTGGAGGTGGCTGCCTCTGTGTTGCACTCCTCGGTTCTCCAGGCAGGTAGTTGTGGCAGAGAGCTCTGGGCCACCCTCCACACGGCGCACCATGCACTCCTCCCTCTAACAGCAACTTACCTGCAGGATCTGAGAACTCAGGGAGCTCCAGTACCTGCGGTGGCAGAATGGGGGGCTCAGGCAGCTTTCCAGACTTAAGCATATCTAGCTCTGCCTGCAATTCGCGCACTTTCTTCTTCAGACGAATGCAATTAGGGCAAAAGGAGGTGGTGGGTAGCTCGTGGGGGTCGGATGCCAGAGAGGCCTCAGCAGGACTGTCGGCCTTGAATGATGCAGGCTCCTCCTCTTCATCCTCCAATGGTTCTTTGGCCACCCTTTGGGGCACCTTCCAGTCCCCTTCCCCCTGGGTCCTGCAGATACTCTGTATGCCTTGTGTCATGGCAGCTGCACTCTGACCATAGTCATCATCCTGGTACTTGGGGACTTTCCGGATGACCAGAGAGGTGCTCAGTGCCAGCTGCCGGGCTTCCACGTTAGAGGACTCCAACGAGGCCTCTAGCACATCCTTGAAGATGAGGTCTATTTTCTTCTTCTTGGCCTGAGGGTGTATGTCCCCCTCATCAAAGCTGCGCTTGTAGGGACTTCTGCCCTGTTTCAACACAGGGAACTGAGAGGGACACCTTATGTCTTCTGGATTATCCAGGGCTTGCTCAGCCTTCTCCCTCTGCAACCTCTTCTCTCCTAGGAAGGAAAACCAGGGTGTGAGGATGTGGGGAAAAGCCCCAAAATGGAGAAACCAACAGGAACAGAATGGGCCTTCTGCTAGGGAGTCGCCTTACACATCCTCCTGGTTCTGACTGCTTGGCTCAGGTGAGACCCAAATGGAGAGAAGAGTGTATCATGGGAGCTTGAGTCACAGGACAAGACCTTTACAAAAAAGCAGTTTTGAAGAAACCTCACATGGATAAACGCTATACCTGTGAGTTGGGATGTGTCTGAAGGGGGGAATAAAAGGAAGTTAGCATCCTACTGTGACCCTAGGAGACAGCATCCCTCCCTATCTGACTAAAGCAACAAACTTCAGAGCTGAGTAAATGTCCACCCAGCATGGGACAAACTGCACGCTAGACCTAGACACTGCAGAATGGTTGCTGTGCCTTAGTAAACGTCATGGAGAATGCACAGGCCCAACCTTACTCCATGCTCATGGTTCTGGAAAAAACAGCCACCCTGCAGTTGCTGTCCTTCTGTTCTCCAAGCAATATAAAGACAGGAAATACACAAAGAAGAATGGTTGGAAGTCCCATGGCTCTCAGTCATGGCTAAGGTTGGAAAATGGAGAGAGATTCCTAGAAATGCTCAAATGTCAGCCTCCCCCAAGATAAGGACAAGGTGGCCATACGACCCAAAGTGTTCTCAAATACAGTTGTTTCCCCACCTGACAAAAATGTCTCTTTTTCTATCATTTAAATTACCTTCATGTGTTGGTGAGCTTACCAATAATAAGCTTTTTCAGAATCTTTAACAAGGCCAGCAGAACAGCACAGACTGCTACCGGGTGCTGGTATGCCCAGGGGAGACATGCCGAGAAAGCAGAGGGGTCTTTCCGCTCTCAGAAAGCTCTGTCAGCGGCCTGTGTGGTTGGGCAATCTCAAAGGATTCCTGAGTCAGGGTCAGGGTCAGGGCCCTGGCTCTGTAACCTTGAGCAGAGGCTTGCTCCAAATGTACAGTGCCCAGGCTTCTGATAGAAGGATTTATTTCATAGGCCCTGGGTGAAGGTCAGGAGGCTCCATGCTTGGCTTCCCTCGAGTCTCCAGGCTCCCACAGATTACAGCACAGCAGGGCAAAGCCACTCAGGTCTCTATTCTGTCCTCCCAGGAGCTGCTTAAGTAAAAGCCTCATCCTAGGCTCCCTGGCACCCAGTCAGCTCCTAGGAGCCCCAGTTCCCATATCAGCAGAACCATAGAAAGCTCAGTGATGACGAGGTGACAACCCTTTAAAAAATGCAACGTGTGGGCCCGTGAGATAGCTCAGAGATTTGGAGCACTGGCAGCTCTTCCAAAGGACCAGAGTTCAATTCCCAGTTCCCACATGGCAGCCCATAACACTCTGAGACTCTAGTTTCAGGGTACCCAGAAGATGCCTTCTTCTGGCCTCAGAGGGCACCAGGCACACATGTAATACACAGACATACATGCAGACAAAACACGCATACACATAAAATACACAAATAAAATGAAATTAAACTTTTACTGTAATGTGTTTATGTCACAGAGCAGATGAGACATTCACAAAGCTGAACCTCTAGAAACCAAGGGTGCCCCTTCAGTTTCTCATGGGCTCTTCAGACATCAGACAGTTGAGGATGCAGGGAGGTCAGGGTGACAGTCACACCAGATGCCCAATGTCTCTGTGTTTAAAGATAAAGGTGACCATGTTTCCTAGGGCAAGCAGGAAACATTTCTAGACTTTTGGCTTCCATGTAAATCCCTAGTCCAGAGATGACCTTTAATACAGGTCATCTGAATTCTATTCCAAATCCTCCATAACATTCAGGGATAACATCAGAGCAATAAATAAATAAATAAATGATCCAATATAAATCATGTACATCACCTAAATGTGTTGACTACTATCTTTCAAAGATAGTCACAAATAAATAATTGGCATTCTCTGTGGAAGCTCTAGGCTCCAAACAACACTCTTCCACAACAAGAGATGACTGTAATCTGGTTAAGCATGTCTTCATAATTGGAGACCTTTGAAGATGCCCATCTCTCTAAAATCCAGGTACAATGGTGCTCCAGTAATCCCAGTGCTTGGGAGGTAGAAGCAGGAGGCTCTGGAGTTCAAAGCCAGCCTCAGCTACAAATCAAATTCAAGGCCAGCCTGGGATACAGGAAACCTCATCTCACGAAGCAGCTGTTAAAGTGTTTTCCAAGTATAAGGACCTTAGTTCAATCCCCAGAATTCCTGTTAAAAATTTTCCAGGTACCCAATAATGGCCAGAGATAGAAACAGATACAAAAACCCACAACCAAGCATTAGGTAGAGCTCAAGGAATCCTGTAGGAGAGGGGAAGAAAGAATTGTAGGAACCAGAGGGTCAAGGACACTATAAAAAAAACCCATAGAATCAACTAACTTGGGCTCATAGGGGCTAACAGAGACTGAACTGACAACCAGGGTGCCTGAATAGGATTGACCTCTGCATATATGTGACAGTTGGGTAACTTGGTGTTCTTATGGAACTCCTAACAGAGAGAGCATGGGCTGTCTCTGACTCTGTTGCCTGCTTTTGGGACCTTTTCCTCCTACTGGGTTGACTTACCCAGCCTTAATAGGAGAAGAGGTGCCTAGTCTCACTGCAACTTTATAAACCATGACTGCCTGATATCCACAGGAGGTCTGACTTTCTGAAGAGGAGGAATGGATGGGGGTACAAAAGGGGGATGCGGGGAAGGGGCTGGGAGGAGAGAAGGGAGTGGAAACTGAGTTTGGGATGTAAAAACAAAAAAAATAAATACAAAAGAAAAAAAAAAAGCCAGGCACTTGTAATTCCAGTACTGGGAAGGAAGAGACGGGTGGCTCCCTGGGGTTCACTAGCCAGCCCAGCCAATTTGGCAAGTTCCAGATCAGTGAGAGTTGTCTCAAAAAGCAAAGTGAATGATTTGCTGAGGAGTGACACTTGAGGCTGACATCTGGTCTGCAAATGTATTCATGTATGCATGCACTTGCATAGGAACACACACACACACACACACACACCTCTGTAATACCTTAAGTGAGCAGGCCTGAAGACACACTTAAAGGACCTGGACTCTGTACCTAACATCTAACATACATCAATCTGCCACCAAGCCCACAGTCACTCTGGAGGACCACTCTCATCACAGCTCTGGTTGACACTCTACAGTTCAGCCTGGTCACAACAGATTTCCCTCCTCTGTCTTCTAAGGCTTGCTTTATCTCAAGTCTGCGCGGCAGGCCTCCCGTGAGCCTCCACTCCCCCAAACTCACTCCTTTCTCTGAGCCGTCTCTGGGTCTTGGGACTTTGAGGTTGATGCTGGTGCTTTGAAGAAGACACCACAAGAAATGTTCCAGAAGAACCCAAGTGATGACTTCTCTCGGTTTTCTTTTCTTTGGGGTGTGCCATTGTTCTGGAAAACCCCTGGCCGTTTTCATTCACTTCTGCTTTTATCCATGCAGCCAAGGTTCACCGAACACTTTTGGAGTTTCAAATGGCAGCCACCTCTCATCACAGGAGCATGCCTTCCTAATGACACCAGCACGGCCCAAGCTCAGCTCCAAAGCAGACAGGAGACGAGTTTCCCACAGGCTTCTCATCTCTCCCGAAATTGCCAGATGCTTTTGACTAAACCAGATGGCTTCTGGGCACCCAAAGGCCTGTTTTGTTGTGTCTTCCAAGTTAGATTCATTTTAGAGAGTCACCTGCTTCTATCTCCTCCACCCATCTTCCAAACAAGGCTGGCTCCAGCCAAGAGGTTAGTTAAGCATGTGATAGAGTAGGTCTCGGGCCTCATTTTGCCTCTGAGGACCAAATGGACTCTGGGCATATGGATGTGTGGCTTCTGTGCAAAGAAGATCCTCTTGAAAGGACCTGGTGTACCAGTTTAACCCGGCCAGGCTCAGGATGGAGTCAGAGTAAAGAGCCAGAGGCAGGGAGTGATTCAAACTCCTGTCAAAAGCTTCATTTCCATGGAGCCTGGAAGGACAACCCAAGCCATCAGGGTCTCCCTGTCTGAGGACATCTTCTCATGTCCATTGGCCTTCTTCTGGTAGAAACCACTCTTTCATGCTGTATATCATTTGGACTGACAGAAACGAGTACAGCAATACCATATCGAGGCTGGCTTTGTCTGGTGGACACTCCGTAAGAACTTAGATCTTCACTTCAGCTGCCTCAAGTTGGGAACCTACCTCTGGCCTTGTTAGTCATGTGACCCTGAGAAAGTCACTGCACTTCTGTAATGCTTAGTGTGGTCATCTGTACAATGATGGGGCTGATGCCACAGGAATCACTGGACTAGCATTTAATACCAAGTACTTAGTAACGGTTGAGGCAGAGATTGCACTGACGATACTAAGTACATTGCTCCATGGATTCTCAGAGCAGCTTGGTGGGTTGGTCCCCATCACCGTGATCGCGTGGCAACGCATAGGAAACCCAACTAGCACACAGGAAGTATCTATTGAGGTACGGTGTGGGAAGTGTCCTTTCACCAGTTAAGAGTTGGGGGGACAGGACTGGTGTTCATTCAATAATTTACTTGGCTGAGATTTGTTGATCTTCTCAGGGGAAGACAGTTCCCTGTGGTAGCTGCTGACTTACTGTTCTGAGAGGTCTGGCCTGCCTGCTGGCTACTGTATTCTCCAGTGGTTTGCTTGGAAGATTCCCAGGAGCTTTCTGGGCTTTGGTGGCTCACAGTGGTGCAACCCTCCCAGGTGGGCGTGGCCTTAACCCTGTGGGTGAGGTCTTGGGCCTGTGGGCATGATCTTAGCTTTGTGGATGTTCCCTTTCACAAGTACCAACCTAGCCCTATGGACTTAGCCTGATAGGCTTGACCCTAGGCCTGGGAGACAGCTCCTTCCCTTGCTCATACTCACCACGGGTCAGGTTGCGCTGGATGGTTTCCTGGGACATGCTATGCAGACGCTTCATGTAGTCTTCGCTGTACCAGACCCGCAGCCACTCTCCAGGCCGGATGTCTCGGCATGCCCGGAAGTAGATGCGTTCGCTGTGCTGGAATGCCAGGAGGTTCTGTTCCCTCTCCTCCCGGGAAATGACCACGTACCTGGTGGGGAGGGGACAGGTGAGAACCATGGGCCATACCTGGCTGAGTGCCTCCAGTGCAGGGCACAACTGGTTAAGGTATGTGGGCATGTAAGCAAAGCTGCTTTCCCACCTAGAGACAGCTAACTAGAGCTGGTCCTCCTACTTACATCTTTGTTCTGCGTTACACCTAGCAAGTTCTCTGGACCTTAAGAATCTGTTTATCTGAGCCTGGAAATGGTACCTGTCCTGCCAACCTCATGAGTCAACACCAGACTCAACAGCAGGCGGTTATCCCCTTCTTTCTTCATTGACTTTTTAAAAAAATGTATTTTGTTTTAAAATTTTGTGTGTAGGGATGTTTTTTCTGCATGCATGTCCATGTACCATATGTGTATATTGTTCCCACAGGCCAGAAGAAGGCATTAGTTCCCCCAGAACTAGGCTACAGAGGCTTGGAAGCCGCCACATGGGTGCTGGGAATCAAACCTAGGTCCTATGTAAGAGCAGCCAATAGTCTTCAGCACTGAGCCATTGCTCCAGCTCCATTTTCATTGACTTTTAACCTCAGGCCTCTAATGGCAGCTGGGGCAAGGGAAAGCTTTGGGCCGTTTTCATATTCCACTAGGCTTATCAGAAATAACGCATTCTCTAAGAGCGGTGAATGACAGCTCAGTAAGGGTTAAAGAGTAGTATCTTTACTGTTGGTCCGATGAGGACAAGGGAAGAAGGCAAATGAGAGACAACAGAAGATTGGCAATATCTGCTTAATGTAAATAGTTTAAGATAAGGACAGAAAGGCTCAGAGAGGCTGAGCAGCTTGCCCAAAGGACCAGCTAGTTAATGGGTGATGTAGCTTTGCAGCTATACTTTCCTCCAGTAACCCATGGCTTCCGTGTGGGCATGGAAGGCAGCAACTCAGCAATGCCCAAGACAACACTGAAGTTCATCCAATTCAGGATTCACACCCCTCACCCAGTTTTCTTCAGATGACACCTCCAACATCCTGGCATCACCTTACCCATCTCCAAAACAGTGCTGCCATGATGGAAAGTGAGGCAGGTCAGAGAAAGCCCTTCACAGCGTATTCTAGTCAGCAAGACTAGCTTGACATAAACATGCCCATGTTTAAACCACGACCATCATTCTGAGTGATCATCTCTGGAATTCTATGTACCTTCCAAGTTTGCTCAATAAAGTCTCTGCTACTTATCAAAGTACTCACACAGATGTCAGTTCCTTTGCAAGGTAACAATGGGGACCAGCAGCTCCGAGAAGAACCCTCCATCCCTAGAGCAGTGCCTGTAGTCTTCATATCCACCCTGCTCTTATCTGGCAGGTCCCTGCAGAGGCAGATTGACTTAGCCTTGGAGGAGGCTGGCCCCTTACCAAGTCATCCCTGAAGTCCGGGAAACAATCCATTCTGGTGACAGAATGAGTGAAGACCAAAGCAATGAGAGAGCAAACATCAAGCTCAGATCTGGACAAGGTGAATGGTGCTTACAGCCCTGGGTGAGACATCTTGTCCAGGACCTTAGCCTTAGAACACATGCGTTCACATCAGTATCTTACATGAGCACCAGAGAGCTCCTCTGAGCTCTGAAAATCTCGGTGGAGATCTCTATGCACCCAGGCACAGCATGTTAGCCAAGGCAAAAGACAGGCCCCCTAGACTGCAGCAGTCTCGCTCAGCCTCATCACGCCACTCAAAGGGCCTGCTACAACTCCACTCCTGAGAGTTCTTCTGCATGTGCAAAACATTTCCAAGTTTCCAATCTAGCAAACGTCTGAGGCTGCTGTCTAAAAGCACCCAGCTTAACGGTCAGCAGGCCACCGAATGGAGGTAGCTCCTAGCTCTTCTGTCCCAGATATATCTGGAAGGCAGAAATCCCATTTATGTGTTCTCTGAAGAATCACACAACACTTTAGGAGTGCCATCTCCCTTTCCCCTTTTGGTTTCTGGATAGCCACCAAACACTAAATGTCAGAGTAAAAGGTAAATGAGGAACCAGTCACTATCAAGGTTTGTTGAATCAAAGCAGCAATGTCTGAAATGGATCTAAACATTTCAGGCTATGTGCCTTCATTTCCCTTTGCACCCCCCACCCCTGCAGTGTTCTGCCCAACAAGAGCCAGCATTAGAAAGAGCACCCTCAGGCTTGATACACATCACAAAGTATTTTCAACATCAGATCAAAACGTGTTGAGCATCTTGCATTGGGTTGTTTTAAAACTTGGCCTTTGAAATGAGATACATATGTCAACTGTGGGTGAATCACAGCCATCCAGTCCCACGACAAGACATGTTAACATGACAGAACTTTCAAGAAAAAGTTAACTGCACCCAGCTAAGACTCAGTATCTATCACCCCTAACCAGGTCCCTTCATTTTAAAGTGACAGTGCTCAATGGCTTGGCCCACTCGCAGAATCCTATTGTCCTCATTCTTATGAAGTTATTGTCCTGGTCATATGGTTGAGGACCCCAAGGTTTCCAGGAAACATCTCCTCCTTGTGGCTGCAACAGGATTTGAGTTCCCAGCTCACTGCCTTGTTGGGCGAACAGAGCAGAGTTGGAAATGCCTGGCCCAGGTTGTCCTGTAGAGACAGAGTTGACTGTTGTCTGTTCAGACTTAGGCACCCTAGAAGTAACTGAAAGGTGACAGGCAGTGGTGGTGAGGGCAAGGGTTCGGCACTGAATCTTTCCAGAAGATAACACATTGTTCTCAGTCCTGTCATCTCACTGGTCGTAGGTACAGGACAGATAAGCATGGGGAGACAATTCTCAGGCCTCACCCATTGGGTCTTATCAAGAGTACCATATTTTCTAGCTGGGTCAGGAAATGACTATGGGTTCCGACTTAAGAAATAAAATGGCCCGTGGAGGCGTCCACTCTGTTTAATAGGACTGACACAGGCCAGGCTAAGCCAACACAGCTTTCCAGCAGAAAGGAAGTTGCCCAGGGAGACAGAAATGGGAAGACTGGCTGAGAAGAGCCTGGGCTCTGTGACATCACTGGTACCCACTATCCAGGTAAAACGCTGTACTTATGTGCTAAGAGTTTCTGTCTAGGCCTCCCTTGTATTTCCTCTTCCTGGTCCCCACTGTCACCAAGACACCGAAGCAGAAAGCACTGACCAAACTGACCACTGTCCCTTGGACTCCCACCTGATTTCTGGCTTACAGCCTCTAATTTGGACTCTTCTTCCCCAAGATTAGAAGTAGAGGTCAACCACTCACATAGATCTTGGGAGTCAGAGGAAATCCAGGCAAGCTGCATAGTGTGTCTTATATCGCCTGCAAATTGCTATCTTGATTTCCAAGGTTATGCGTTTTGGCCAGAACTTAGAGAATGGTCTGGATTCCAAAGCCAAATGTAGCTAAGAACTATCCAGAAAGGATATTACAGCGTGCAATTTGGGTATTTGTGCTTCAAGGAAGCTTTCTCTCTACTCGGAGATAAGTCAGGCTGATGACAAGTAAGACTGTGGGCACACTTCTGATGAATGCCAGAGGAACCCATTCTTGTTCCTCTGAGAAGTCTTGGGTCTTGGCAGGCATGGCCCTGCCCTTCACAGACAGCTACCAAGATCAGTGATGTGTCTCATTCAGGATGGCCCCTGCTAGACAGACAGGAATCTCTCAAGTCTCTATCCAGAAATTACTTCTCTCCTTGGAAATCCTAAGGTTACTTTCACTGAGTGCTATGTCACTTTTGATGTGCAGAAAAATGAAGTACAGCTGACCTAGCATGCATGGATGCTTAGCTGACTTTCACCTACAAGCACCTGTCTTTTCTTTGGAGGGCCAAGCATGGGCCTGGGCATGCCCACAGGGAGCTTACGGAATCCAGGGAATGCAAGGGTCACAGAGCCCTTTTCCCCATACACTTTCCCTTAAGCATCTATCCCTACTCTGGCGATCTGTAGATTTCCTTGGGATATGAAGAAAGAAAATACACACCAAAAAAAAAAAAAAAAGAAAAGAAAAAAGAAAAAAAAAAGATCCTGGAGTCTGGCTGTGTTCAAAGTGTGACATTCATTTCGTTTTATTGCCATCTTAACAAAAATATTTGAGAGGGCTCTCCTGGGTTTCAGCATGGGTATGCAGGGCAATTCCAGGCACTGGGCTATTACTGGATAGGACAATGTTCAGTCTAAGGAAGAAGGAACCACAAATTGGGGTGATGGAGCCCAGGGACACGGCAGGTGCCATCCGTCCATTAGCCTTGTGTAGGACGAAGTATGGTGTGTGTATATAAAAGCTCTAGCAACAGCCTCAGCAGGCACTGGGTCCAGCAGGCTTCCAGCCCCACTTAGTCTCTTAGGGGTTAGGGGGGAGGATGCAAAAGGTCTGCTGGGATCAGCCTCAGGCCAGGGAGCCAGGACAAAGCTGCACCTAGATCAGAGCTAAGCTTCAGCTTGGTCTCCCTCCCTAACTCTGAGAGCCCAGCTCTCGGGCCATGCCCCCCAAACAAAACACAAAGCTAGAAGTGTGTGTGGCTAAATGACTACACAGCCCAAGCAAGCAGAGGCAAGGCATGCTGGGAAGTGGGCTGGACACAGCCTTAATGGGTTTGGGCCTTATTAGGAGCCAGTGAGTGGACAGTCTGCCTGCTGCCTCATGAGGCTTGGGCCCTGGATCTCCCCACCACTGGCTGTGAGAATTGGGGCTGGGCCGTGGCAGGCTAATAGACTCATGTAGCCCCAAGCTGGTATTGTTCCCTCTTTCAAGTGCAGAAGCTGAGGCAGAACATCTATTAGCACTCTAGAATTGGCCTCTTGAATGGCTGTGTCATTTTTGACCCCTGAGATGCATGACAATGACCGGAATGACCAGCAATCAGTGATTGTAAAGACTGACTTGACGGCCTCCTCACTGTTCAGAAGGCTCCCTGAGATGGCCTAATACGTACAGGCTTGGGAAAAAGCTTACAGTGTGCTAAAAATGCAAGACCGTCTCCTTCCCTCCACAAAAGGCAAGCACAGCAGCTGGGCAGCAGCAGGGCAAGCACAGGGCCAA